TAAACTCTCTAAATGCCTGTTCGCTCAGCCTTCTATCAATTTTTTGGGCCACATTATTTCGGGTTCCGGTGTACAACCCGACCCCAGCAAGCTGCAAGCGATTTCCGAATGGCCTACTCCTTCTACAATTACGCAACTCAGGGAATTTTTGGGCTTATCCGGCTATTATAGAAAGTTTATCCGCCACTATGCCTCCATTGCTGCCCCCTTGACTGATTTACTCTCTAAATCCGGTTTTCATTGGAATTTTAAGGCTGATTGTGCTTTTCGTGACCTAAAGTTGCTATTAATTTCTGCCCCCATTTTGGGTCTCCCCAATTTCTCTCAACCCTTTGTGGTGGAAACAGATGCTTCGGGTGTGGGCATTGGAGCTGTTCTACTCCAAAATGATATACCACTGGCGTTTTACAGCCGCAAGTTAGCCCCAATGATGCAGGGTAAGTCAACGTATGCTCGCGAAATGTTTGCAATTACAGCGGCTGTTTCGAAGTGGCGTCAATATTTGTTAGGTTCGCCCTTTGTGATTCGCACAGATCACAAGAGCCTCAACAATTTGATGCAACAGGTTATCCAGACCCCGGAGCAACAACAGTTCCTCTCTAAGATGTTGGGGTACGATTATACTATTGTCTATAAGTCCGGCAAGACTAACATAGTCGCTGACGGATTGTCTAGACAAATGGAGGGCACCTGTGACACCCAGGCCCCTCACTTAGCGGCCATTACTGGCCCAACATTAAACTTCACTACGGTATTACAGTCCGAATTAGTTACAGACCCCTATACTACCAAAATCATACACGAATTACAGCAAGATCCGAGCCTATGGCCGGATTGGGAATACAAAAATCAGTTGCTTTTTCATAGACACCGCATCTATATGCCCTCTTCTTCCACCATTATTCCTCATCTGCTTCACGAAGTCCACGATGCCAAGCAAGGAGGTCACTCAGGGGTTAAGGCAACTGTCCAAACTCTGCACCGCAACTTTACCTGGAAGGGAATGCACAAAACCGTTACAGATTATATCTCCAAATGTGAGATCTGTCAAAAACTCAAACCTTCTGCCCACGCCCCGTTTGGACTCCTCCAACCATTACCCACCCCAGCTTCCCTATGGACAGATATTACTATGGATTTTATAACCCACTTACCCTTGTCATCTGGTTTTCGATCCATATTCGTGGTTGTCGACCGGTTTTCAAAGGCAGCTCATTTCAGTCCCCTTCCAGCTCATTACTCGGCCTCCAAGGTAGCCTCAGTCTTCTGGGACAGTGTTGGAAAACTACATGGCCTTCCCCATTCTATTGTCTCTGACAGGGACCCCGTTTTCCTCAGTGATTTCTGGAAAAACCTCTTTCGGCTGCAAGGAACAACACTAAAATTCAGTTCTTCTTACCATCCACAGACAGATGGGCAAACCGAAAGGGTTAACAGGTGCTTAGAATCTTACATCAGGGCTTTCACATATTCACACCCTCATACATGGTCCAGTTTCCTTAGTTGGGCCGAATACCACTATAACACCAGCTACCACCATTCCACGGGTTTTTCTCCATACGAGGTGATGTACGGCAAGCCCCCACCCGACTTGGTCGCATATTGTCTTGGCTCTTCTCCTAATGAGGCCGTCGATGCTACCCTGACAGCTCGACACACAATATTCCAGACATTAAAAGAAAATCTCAAGAAATCACAGCAAATAATGAAGGCCTAAGCCGACAAGAAACGTAAAGATTGGAGCTTTACCGTAGGAGATCTCGTTTTACTCCGCCTGCAACTGTATCGTCAAGTTTCTGTTCACCGTCGGTCGTCCCAAAGGCTAAGCTTGCGATATTATGGTCCCTTCGAAGTCTTGCAAAGGATAGGTGTTGTTGCCTACCGCCTCACGCTTCCCCCTCTTCACGGATCCATGATGTTTTCCACGTGTCCCTCCTCCGTCCCTTCAAACCAGGTCAGCACTACCAGATCCACCAACTCCCAGACACATCAGCCGCTTCTCCTCTGGCTCTGACGCCGTGCGGAGTGATAGCTACACGCTCCATCTGGCGAAGGGGTACCTTAATTCCACAGGTCCTTGTGCAGTGGCTTGGACTACCACCAGCGGACTCGACCTGGGAGGACCAGACGACCTTGCTCCAAGGTAACCCGCGTTGGGCACCAGACGTTCACGCACTCGACCATGTCCACCGTGCTTCTGATGGTGAACTAGCACCTCCTGAGGACAACAATGGTAGCAGGACCCCCATAACTACAAGACTACAAAATGGGACTGAGACTTTTGGGGCTACGGCTACCCAAGAGACTGCTCTTAGTGGGTCTCATCAGCCACCTAACCCATTTATTGCATGCCAGCCTAATTCCACTTCCCCATTTCATCCAACGGTTGATCTCACTCCGATCTTCCCAATACTTGCTCCATCATTGGATTCCACCGTCCATCCTTTATTGCGCCCACCATCCTCCCCAGCTGCTGTTCCGCGATTGGTCCACGTTGTCCCCAATAACACCAGCCTCGAGGACGAGTCTGCTCTTGCAGATGTGGGGCTTGTTACAGACTCCAACGTTACAATGGGAATAGGGCTAAGAGATAGGTCAAGGTTATCGCAACCCAAGAGGCTTGCTGACTACATAGTGGGCTAGGAATACCTTAAGCCCATCTAATATTTCACTTTCAGTATTGTTATGAATATATTTCAGTATTGTTAAGGCCCATCTGATGCCACTTGCAATTGTGACAGTTATAGGTCACGAAGAATGAATGAATGAGTGTGTTTAAAAGTGAATATTCTCTCTCTTCTTCTCTCTCATCCCTTACCCTCTTCTCCTTGCTCTCCTTCTCAGATCTCAAAGGGGTTACATACACCTATCGCTGTACTTCCATATATATATATATATATATATATATATATATATATATATATAATTCTTTTATAGTTGTGATTAGTTGATTATATTTTTTTTAATTTTTTTTTGTTAAATGCACCACTCGTGGATTAAGATTATTATTACATCAAATTACTCTCAAAATCATAATTATGCAGTATTTTTTTATGTTCAATATGCATTTTGACACTAGCCCTGTATATTGAAACTATCATTAATAATGTGATGAGGTTATTATCTACATGCTTTCTATGATCATGTCATCTATTTTCTTTACCTTATGTTGTGAATGCATAGGCGTTGTTTGAATGAAAACAAAAAAATGTTGAACTATTATTTTATTTTTCTATGCTCCACCTTGCATCGCATGTAGTGTGGGTTGTGTAAGGTGGAGAATTTCTTGCATTGGCAATACTTACATATAGTACATTGTCTTCAAGTGGCAGCTAGCCCATTCATTTCCTAGTTAGCATGAGAGACACTTCTCTATATTCATGACACATTGCACTCTCTATTCATGACACCTTCCACTCTCCTCCCATCACCTACCATGGCCTACCATTAACACATCCAAATAATCTTTTCTTTCATACCTTTCACCATCAGCCCACAGATTTTAAGTAAAAAAATCAGACTATATTAGGGAAAATCAGACTTCATTTAATGAAATAAAATACTCTTCATTTTAAGTAAAAAAACTCAGATTAATTGTGCAGTCCCTAGTGGTGGGGTTCATGTTCATTTTACCTTTCCACTGTAATATTCACCATTAACAAAAGAAATATTTTCCTTGCTAATATGTAGTGACGAAATTTGTGACACTAATAAGTTTTTTTCTTGTAGTATAATATAACTGAATTTCTTTTATTGGTATTTGATTATGTTCTCGGTGATATATTGTAGCCAATTCCAGACTATAATTGGGATATATCCTTGAATCCTTGATTGCTTAAGTGTATAATTAAGCGATGATTGCTTCTTAATTTGATTAGGTGAACTTATAGCTTAAGAGATAAGATGAATCATTGTTTTTTATTCCACCACACTACCTAATCTTCTTTTGTGCCTTTATGATAGAGTTGACTAATATTCCAATGATTTTTGCAACTTAACTTCTCACATTATTACGGAGTACTCGACATTGAAAGTCTTCTCACATTATTAAGGTGTACTTGACATTGAAGGTCTTCTCATAATCAAGTGACGTAGATGTCTTTTTTTTTTTTCTCCTTCAATTTCATTTGAAATGATGTTATATATGAGAAGCATGTATATGTGATTATGCATCACTTGCTGGGTAGTTAAGTCTTTATTTATGCATATGTTGCTCGGTGCTTAATTTTTTGTTCCCTTATTCAAATTTTGGTTCATTACAAATTTGAATAATCATTTCCATACTTTCAGCCAGCAGTAGTATTATCGGTGACTGAAAAGATGAGAGAATATAGATTGAGATAGTTTGGTTATGTAATGAGGAGGTCCTTGAATGCTCCCGTAAGATCAAAAGTTTATTACCAAGAACTCAACACAAAGAAAGGTAGAGGTAGACTGAAACTTACTTGGAAAAGGTAGTAAAACAAGACTTAATGGAAGGGATATAGATTGGCGGACAGTGTGCTTTAGAACGGAATGGAGAAAAGCTATAAACATGATGGAGAATTAGATCTGTTGTTATTCCTATATTCCACATAGTCTCTTTTTAGTCTTTTTCCTCTTTCTCTCCCCCTCTTCTTCTTTTTCCCTTCTTTTATTACTTTTATATATATATATATATATATATATATATATATATATATATATATATATATATATTATTTTCTTTTATTTATTTATTTTTATCTTTTTTAACTCTTTCGTATCTTTTATTTGGGTTCATCTACCACCGACCCCAATTAGTTTGTGATAAAAGTGTAGTTGATGTTGATGTTGATACAATATCAAATATTGTATAGTATTAAAATTTAATTAGACTTTATACAATCAAACTTTATACTAATAGATGTTATCCTATCATATACACCAAAGATGCCCTTACAGATATTTCTTTACATAATATGTAAATTGAGAAGCTGAGAAGAAAAGAAACCGTAAACATTGTAAGAGAGGGAAAAGAACTATGAATCCCAAATGGGACCAAAGGCTGCAATTCCAGCGGCTTTGCATGCATTGACAACATCTCTGCTTCCTTCCGGATTGCTTGTGACAATGACCACTTCAGCATCCCAATTCTTTGCAGCGTTGACGCTCAATTCAGACACGTTTGGCCTACCCAACACAGCAGTATCATGGATTATCACCTTGTCTTTTGAGAACCCACTTACAGCTTCGTTAATTTCCTTACCAAAGTTTTGCTCAATCCCCTTGGCCACCCAAAGTAAGCACACATCAGCTTTACATGGCTGCAAAAGAAATGAAAGAAACACGCATATTCCCGAACCAGTCGCCACTAACAAGACCCTTTCATACATGTTTACCAAATAAGGGAGACCCGCGAAGTGCACTTGGCGAACCCACAAATGAGTTGGAGGGTTCGAGACCAAAGATTTTGTGAAATCACCAACTGCACCTGCAAGCATCATATGTTCTTTCTTCCCATCTGAGATTATACCAAAGGCATGCCATTCAGAGAGTGGAGAGGGGCTAATCCTTCCAAGTATGCCAGCCTTTATTCCTCCCTCAAATTTGATGATTGAAGCATGCCCAGAAGCAGATGATGCTTTCACAGGAACACGTCTCACTGTTAACCATGGGGTGATTATAAGGACTGTGATGGCCACAGTGAACCAAAATTCTTGGCTTTGGATCAACCTGGATCCAAGTTCGTTTGAGTAAGATTTGGTTTTTGGGTCATAAGAGATTGTAAGCATGATGAACGCCCAAAGGAGACACAGAGCCATCCATCCAGCAAAACGGTGGGTTCTCTCAAAGACGTTGTGATGGATATGACGAACAAGTGGGAATGCAGCCAAAGAAGAGAGACAGAGAAGTCCAAGAATTGCGGAAGAGACCCCAATAATCTCTGGTGAAGTGTTCTCTCTTTGTTTAAGAGTGAGGACCAACGCATACACAAGCCATGCAATTGAAGACACGCCACAACCACTGTGTACACCTCCTACACTTTGAAGAAGAGAAGTGGTAGCTGTTTTGAGTAAGAGAGGCACCCATGACCTACCAAGGATCTTCACTGCAAGCCAAAACACAAGACGCAAGAAGGCCTCACTTCGACACAGAGTCAAAGCAAGTATGTTCCCAATGGAGAACAGAGTAGCTCTGTTCCTTGCATATGGAAAGTTCCCCGTAGCTGCAAGAACCAAACCAGTAACGTTAAGGGTCAAGCAAACCATGAAGAGTCGCTTGTACAGAGTGAACAATCCTTGGTCTAGCAGTATAACTGAGAGTCTTGATTCATTATTCTTTCGTGCAGGGTTGGTTGGTCGCTGATCAGGGAGTACTGGTGTAAGTGGCTTCTGTTTCTCCACATCGTAGATTTCTTTAGGGACGATTTCAAGAGCATCATCTTCTTCTTCTTCTTCGTCAAGATCAAGGTCACAAAAATGGCTACTAGCCTTGCTGGAGGATCTTTGTAGCGAAGAAGGGAACACTCTGGAAGTTCGAAAAGACCGTGAGGGTTCTTGTGGTGTAGGTCTAGTTAACATTATGGCGAAGGGATCTGCTTGAGGTTTGACCTCAAAGGCCACGCCTCTGCAGCTTGAGAATCTTACTGGGCTTTGCATGCCTAGCTTGGTTGCCTCTCAGAATAATCACCAAAAAAAAAAACAAAGAATGGAGAAAAGGTTGATCCAAATACAAACAAATTGGAACTTGGAACTTGGAACTTGGAAGCAAAGGTTACTTATTTTCAGATTTGTGTCATGCAATGCAAAGGAAGTTTGTATATATAGGCCCTTAGTCTACATTTTTTGACGATGAAGTTTGAATATGACAATTAGATGAATAAAAATAAATCATTAAATGTTCAGAGCTGAATCCGATATTATAGGAGGAAAAAGAAAAAGGAATGATATAAATATATCAATTATTTTTGCAGGAGAATATTAAACGTGATAATTAAATTATACTCTTTTATAAAATTGTCAGAGGCACACAACACGTTAATTCAATTAAGATTTATGAATAGTTATTTTATTCATTATTCAATTTAAAGAAAAGCCTTGTAAGTTGATGGCACATAAAGTAGTTTGACGTGAGTTTATTTTTCCGTTTTATTTGGGGAGAATTTTCTATTTAATTTGTTTCATAATAAGTTTTTGAAAAATTATCATTTTTCCACATCATAATATTAAAATATTCTATATATATATATATATATATATATATTCTATAGAATATTTTATAATAAATTATTCTTTTACAGTGTAGTATTTGAATTTTATTATTTTATTATTTTATTATTAATTATATTTTATTTACCTATAATGTGAATTTTATTATCTAAATTGCAACTCAAGACCCCCTTAAATATACATTTCAATGACATTGAACTCATATTTTTTAAATTCATCTATTTTGAAATCACTTATGTCACATTCTTTTAATTTATTATTCCTTAAATAGTAGAAGAGTTTTAAAATGAGTTCATTGTAGATGAGTATACAAGCAAATAAAATTACAAAAAAAATTTAAAATGAGTTCTACATTTTTTCTGACAAGATGAAATAATTTTGGTTTTTTGATTTTTTTTTTTTAAAACATGATCTGACCAGGTCAACGGATAACAGGGTTTGGCAAATTTTGTCCTAATTTGATCGTGTTTTGACCGGGTCGGATATATGACCGGTCCAATACTTGATTCGAACCGGTCCAACAATCAGTTTGCCGAATTTTGGAACGACCGGACAAGACCGGATTTAACAGTGCATAAAGTTGTTTTAAAGTGAGTTTATTCGGTAAAAAACTAATTGTGTCTGTATTTGTAGTTTATTTAATTTAAAGTATATTATATATTCTTATCCACTAAAATTTAAGAATATATATATAAACAGAAAAGATCATGTAAAGGTTTGACCAAAATCCAAATTATCAATAACTGTTGTCGTTGCGTGAAGAAAAGGCTAAAATTGTAATAAGAAGTTAAGAACACCCATCAGCAGTCAACTAAAGAGAAAATAGTTCTTTCTGGTGAAAAAGGTCAGCACATCTTTAAGTAACCACTCAACATAAAAAAGGAATACCAATCAGTTAAAAAAAGAAGAAAAGAAAAGGAAAGCATGATATTGATAGTCATAGTATATATTTTTTAACACATAGCGAGTCCCATTTCGAGCCTTCATTTATTTCTTATTTTTTGGCAAAGTGATCAATTTGATTCTAGTTATCAGTTTAAAATTCAGTAAAGTTTAGCAACAGCTAATAAGTGAAAAATGCTAATCGATGATGACCATTTTCTCTTTATCTCATAAAAATGTCATCACATGTCATGGATGCATATTGTTTTCGGCTGCCATAACAAAGTCAGAGCAACCTTTTGCAGCCATAACAAAGTAAGACTTTTCGGCTTTCATGGCTTTTCAAGGCCGTGCTGATCTCATTATTCTTATAGAATATTACTACGTACAGCGAAGAATGGCTTGGCTTCTATTATTGTCACCATTGTTCAAATTTAGGATATTGATTTCAAAGGTGGCTGAATAATTGAAATAGTCAAGCCTCAATTTTAAAGAGATTCTTCATAAAGATGTTAGGGTGTTATATATTTTAAGAGTAAACTATCTTTTGGGTACAATGGAGCCCATTTTAATTCCTTAAAAAAATCGACTTGTAATTTTTATGAAATTTAAAATAGATCCAGTTAGTTGAAATCGTGATCACTCTGAAATTCAAAGAAGACTCATATTATTCCCTCAAAAAGATTAATATGGGTTTATTTTGAATTTGAGATGAATCACGAATAGACTTTTTTTCTTAGGGATTGAATTAGACCACATGATATTTGTTGAGGACTCAAAATATACTTTGCACATATTTTAATTTAAATCGCCCTTTGACTTTGTTCCTTTGAGAACTTACACATATAATTCTTGCCAGCAGTATCAATCAGTCGTTATTTCGTGAATGGTGGAGGATAGATTTACTTAGGTACGTTTGGTACATAGTATAAGATAAAGCCTGATAGTATAAAACCTGATAGTATAAGACCTGATAGTATAAGACCTAATTGTATAAGACCTGATTAGATTTTAATACTATCATGCGTTTGGTATGGTATTGTATAAGATAATATCCTCCAATATTTTAAAAATTAATATATTAAAAAAAATATATTTTAATATATTAATATAGAAATGATATATTAGTTCTTGGAAATTGTACTTTTAAGCAACATTAATACATTAACCCCTTATCAGACCTAATCCTACCCCGTTAGGCTTGATTAAGTTATACATCATTTTGATGTATAAAGGGATCCTGTTGTATAAGCTTATACTATACGATGGTCACACCAAACAACTGAAAATGTCATAACGTATAGTGTAAGCTTATACTATCAGGCCTTATACGTCACACCAAACAGGCCCTTAGCTCCAATATGCTCATATATGGCGTGGCCGTGGACAATCGTTTTCGTTGAACTATTCTTGAAAGTCACGATTGTTCGATATATATTGTTAATATAGTTTAAATGGGAAGGATATTGTGACAACCAAGTTGTGTTACTACCAATCAATCTCACCGTTAGATCGATTATATTGATCCAACGGTTATATTTATTTCCATCTTTGTATGGTTATGATTCCCTATATTTAAAGTGAAAGCATTAAATATAGAAAATCATAACCATACAAAGGTGAAAATAAATATAAAGTATTAAATTTGGGTAATCATGACCATACAAAGACAGAAATAAATATAATCGTTGGATCAATATAATCGATCTAACGGTAAGATTGATTGGTAGTCACTTGGTAGTAACACAACTTGGTTGTCATAATATCCTTCCCCTAGTTTAAATATATTATTACAGAAAGATATTTCTACAGTTAATGCAGAAAGTTATCTGCATTTATTTCCAAAACGACATCGTTTTGGGATTGAAATATTAAAAAAATCAATTATAAAGACTATAATAATCCAAAAATAAATTAAAATTACAAAAATATCATGATTTTTGCCCCAAAATGACATCGTATTAGGCTTACTGCAGATAACTTATCTACAGTAACTGCAAAAAAAACGAACCAATATTATTAACATACAAGATTAATAGGTGAGAGGATAGTTATTTGGATCCACATGATAAAATTCAATAACTTGCATATAAACTATATGGTTTCCCTTAAGCGGAGGTAACATAGTTGGACAATTCAAACTTGATGTCTCTTGGTATAATATTTTTAGTAATTCTAAATCATGTTCAAACTCATAACATCTAACAATCTTGAAGTATTAATTTTGTGTGTCGAAATCGAGCAAGTAAAGTATCTATTCAAAGATCATATCAAGATGAACTCATAGGTGTAATCACTTTCGAGATCCGATGGTGGAATTCACTTGGATCCAAGTTTAAAGATTCTACAGCTGCAAGCTTTGAGTAGAACTCCCAGAAATTTTAGCCTGTGTCAAAAGATGAAACCTTTTGGGTTTTGTTATACTCATCGACGCGATAGTTTTAAGGAATCGTTTGCGTTAAGTAGAGATAAACGAAGAAGATACGACCATTATAAGTTTTAGCCTTTTTCGGTGACCAACGAGTTCTAGCGCGAGGTAATCTAGTGTTAGATTTTTGGGCACTCCAGATCCATTTTTGGGATCTGCTTTTCCAAATTTCACCTTAATAAAGTAGTTTGACAAAAATATCCATGGACTCCAAGGTTCACTCTTTCTAACTCTTTTATGTGATTAAAATGGATAAACATAGTTCCTGTAATATTTCAAAGCAACAATCATTTGATGTTACTGAAATTTGATGCAACAATCATGGTTGGAAATTACATGTTCAATTTGGCATGAAAGAACATGAAATATTCTACACTATATTGAGTGGTTTTGCATCTATCACTGAAAATATGGATGAATATCAACGGGACAAATATGAAAAATTTTGTAAAGATAGTGAACTTACTAAATCTTTGTTTAGTTGTGACTTATAATGAGTCTAAGATAGCGAAAAAGATATTAAATCACTTGAACGCTCAATTTCAAAAATAAGAGGGGATATTCAAAACTCTCCTAGCGAAGAAGTTCTTTAAATTTAAGTTTAATATGAATTCAACTATCACCTCTCGGTTAATTGGACTTAAGAACACGAGAAATAAGTCGAAAGATCATAACTCTAATATGCTTGATAATCTCTGTATTGGTCTTTTGTTGAGTAAGCTACTAGTTGAATACAATTCTTTCAAGACCGAAACACACAGATTGAAAGAACAAATTGAACTGGATGAATTAAAGAGATATATTATAATGATGATAAAAAATTCTCTAAGAATAATTTGGAATAAGTAGGACATCGAAATTGTATGTGTAGAGGGGAAATCTCGTTAGTTGTATGGTAGTATAAGAACAATATGGGGTTTTGGTAATGGCAATCAACCATATTCTTTTTTGGAGTAAGGGAACGTCCTTCAAAGCACCTAACACCCAACATGTACAACGTAGTCATGTGCTCCACGTGTTAAGTGGTGGCTTTGTCGGGAAATTATATGGCTGGTAGGGCAAGGTTATCCGTCTGGTCCATAATAGAGTGTAATTTCATATTACTTGGGTATTATACTAATGTAATTTTATGTTGTTGAGAAATTATATTGAGATTGATAAAAATTAGTGTGTTACATTATTGATCATATTTTAGCACTAATTCTTACTATACTACTAGCTCATTATTCATGAAGATGTAATACTTATTGTATGTGAGTATGAAAAGTCATATGCCATGGTATTTTCAGCATATTGATCATCATGTTCTTAAGATAGGGTTATGTTGGATTGAATTGGATTAAGATGCTACAATAGAAATAGTTTTACAAAATTATCATTGCATAAAATGATTTTCTAATTGTTAACACGATAAAGTTGTTTTCAAAATAAAACAATTTTTCAAAGGATACTAAATTAATTAATATTTCCCAAATAGAAGAATTTTAGAATTTTTTCAATATGTGGGCTTTATTAATTAATTATGTTTTAATATTTTAAAATATTTAGGTAAATAATATTTCAATTCGGCTAATTATTTAATTAAGCCCATTAATGTGATCATATATTTTTTGAGTGATGTCATCTGAATTAGATTTGGCAATGTAGTGGATACAAATTCTTCTAAGAAAGGTTTATAGCTATATCCCCTCTTTAGCTTATTCAACATAAGTTTGACTTTGTGTCATCCTAACAAGTACGGCCACAGATGTTTTTAAAAAATTTGAGTGTCGACACGTGTCCGATACGGACACACTCCGACACGCGGTTAACATTTGAGGATATGCGCTCAACTCTTCGACACGTTCTGACACGTTTTTCTGAGTAGCAGTCAACTTTTTTCGACACGCGACCAATGCTCCGACACGTTTTTTTTAATCTTAATTTTATTTTATTAACTAAATATAAAAAATTAATTTATAAATTAATTTTTTTCTATTATGAAATTTGACATTAAAATTAACAAAGTACGAAAAAATTATTTTTATTTATATTTATGTTATAAAATTTAAATATTTGATTGGTTATATAACTTAGTGTGGACTCTTATATATATTAAATATAAATTATATTATAAATATAAAAAAATTTATTTAATATCAACCCAACGTGCCAAAATATGACATTTTTTAAAATTAACGTGTCAGTGTGTCGTTTCGTGTTTAATGTCAGTGCATCATACGTGTCATCACAAAGGCTACCAATAACGATAAGCGAAAGAGAGAAAGGCTACAACATTAAGTTTCTTCCTTTCCTCCATTTTATAATGACCTAACAAGGTACGTATATATGCACATTAGATTTTATTATTATTCAGATATTTTATAATTATATATATTACATTATTCATCCAATTTTAAATTTATTCATGATCTACAATTGCAATAACAACGAGCGCTACGATTCATGTGCGTCGTCATCCTACCGAGTTCTTTGATTTATTTCTTATTTTTCTTCTTTATTCAATGCAGGGAAAATAAAAGATTACACACTGGTGTGGACTCTAAGGGACTGTTTGGTAAATGTATGTTTAGAAAAATACCAGAAAAGTTATAATGGGTATCCTATTTGGCTATGTTTGGTAGGAGTTTTCATATTAGTTGACTAGGTATCCAGTTTGCCCTGAAATTACTTTTATGACCAAAATGTGTTATACTTTATCTTCTGAAATTACCACCAAAGAGGTGATATTTGTAAAATACCCAATGTAAGGACTTGTAATCTGATATTTTCGGACAGTTATACCCTTCCCTTTTGGCAGCTGGTCTTCATAACTAGAGCCAGTAAAACGGGCTCGACTCGGCGGGCCAACCTGCCCAACCTGCCAAACGGGGCAGGGCGGACTCATTTTTTGGCAGGTTGACGGCTAGCATTGGCGGACCGAGGCGGGTCAGTGTAAAATAAGTTCGGGCTGGCGGATCAACCCGCCCAACCCGCCAAACGGAGCAGGGCGGGCTGAGTTTTTCAGCCCACTTTCAAAAGCGGAGCGAGGCAGGACGAACTGACTCATTTTTTGAAAGGTTGATGGCGGGGCGGGACGAGCCGCCCACTTTGCCACCTCTATTCATAACTAATGATAAATAACTTCATGGTATTAACTAATGATGAAGATCTCCGTTCACTTTTGGTATTGTTGCAATGTCTGTATGGAGATTGAGAATGGAACCAATATTATTTCCTCATATAGAAGCTGCAAATTCTGTAACTGATTGTGCTTTTTTCCTTCTTTCTGGAATAATTTGATTTTCTTCTGTTATATTCAGGGATTTGGGATGGAGTTTAGTGAGCTTGAGGAGCACACCCATGGATTCTTCAGCAAACTTACTAGGAGGATGAGGTGATCTACAAAAATCACGATCTGTAAATTTTCAAGATGAATATGGTGTTTTTTTTTTTGGTAAACTGAATATGGTGTTTTTGTTTTGAACCGTGTCTACATAGTTAATGTATAAGGTTATTTTCGTAAAACTTTCCTATATTCCCATTAATATTTTATCATCAACTAAACAACATCTCAGGAAAATTAATCAAAATACCCAGTAATATTTTTGCCTACTAAACAACTTTTTCGTAATATTATCGAAAAACAATATTCTAACTATATTCCTAGTAATCATGATTCCCGAGAAAAAAAAAAATTTCCTCTACCAAACGCCCCCTAAGAATCTGTTTGACATTTTTTAAGTTAAAATCTACTTTTAACTTAAAGTTAAAAAAAAACTTTAAAAATAAAATTATAAGTTGTTTGATGATTGTATAAAAAATTTAATTTAAAAGTTGTTTAAAATTGTTTATTTAAAAAAAAAAGTACACATTTTAGAAAAGGTGATAAACTTAAAAAAATAAAAATAAATCTTCCTATGAACTTTTGGGTTTTGGTTTCTTCTTTTTTCATTATAAAAAAAGCTTTTTTTATTATAAAAGATTTTGTAAAAATCTGTTTAGCCTAACTTCTACTTATAAGAAGAAAAGAAGCTGGTTACCAAAAAAAAAAAAAAAGCTAAAAAAAAGACATCTCATGCACTAAGAGCCTGTCTGCATCTTTTTTATACTAGAAGCTACTTATAAGTTAAAACTAAAAAAAGAGCTTAAAAAAAAGCTAAAACCTGTTTGATAATTACATAAAAATTTTAGCTTAAAATACATATTTCAAGAAAATTTTATCTCTCTTTATAGCTCTTCATTTAAAAAAAACACAATTCAAAAAAGATTGATAAGACCTTAAACAAAGCTCCTCCTATGAGCTTTTTGCTTTTAGCTTTTTTCTTCATTATAAAAAAAAAAAAAAATTATTATAAGAGTTTTTTTCAAAATTTGTTTGACCTAGTTTATACTTATAAGTAGCTTATAGCTTGAAAAAAAAAAGAAAAAAGAAGAGAGATCCAAAGAGTGACTAAGATTCTTTGGTTTGTACGTAGTCTATTTATGGAGCATAAATTGGTTATCAATTATTCGAATAGAGTAAAGAAGAAACATAAATTTGTGCGACAATAACAAAAGAATAAGAGTTCATATTATCCAAATTCACCTTAAGCTAATTCTTCAGGGAACATTCTTCATCAAAAAAAATAAAAAATTCTTCAGGGAACATCTTCTTATCAATCTAATTGGAACATAAAAATAAAAGAATAATCGCATCTACCAAAGTTCAAAAAGTGAGATTTGATAGCTACCAAAACACAATTTAATAACTAGTATATGTCACTTAAATTTTAACACGAAAGGATGAAAATCCCATTCACACAGGTGCATGGTTTATTAATTAAATTGACGATTTCATAAATTTCTGGTATAATCGATGTGAACAAATCACAGACCCTCATAATTAAAACCATAAGTATTGCATGGAAGAAAGAAAGATAATTCCCATCTTATAATGTTTTCTCCGGAGAGAAACAGAACAGCGCAAAATGACAACCTCAAATGTGAAACTGAAAACCAAAGTGTTCTCAACTCTTTAGTCTCAAGGATCAGAAGTCGTCATCCTCATGATCCATCAACTTCCATGAACCATCTGGTTGTTGAATCATACCCTTATTCTTTTCAGTCCTCCATGACACTGGTACAAGGTATTCATCTTTTAGAGCATCCAATATCTTATTCACAAGTGCAATATCACGATTAACCTCGAGTTTGAATCCTCCATTGCTCCCTTGAGTTCCTCCAACTCCATGCAAGTAAGCCTCCAAGTTATGCCAGCTAGATGGATTCCCTGGACTCTTCAAGTACATAGATTTTCTGGTATCAATTTTCAACTCTTCACCCACATCAAAATACCCAAGAGGAGGATAGTTTGGAACAATATCTAACTCATTTCGAACGCGTAAGGTTGATAGATCTTTGTACCCAGAATAAACCTTCCGAAAGTTGATGTCACCAACTCGTGGGCTTGCAAATGCAATGACTGTGACTGGAGAAGCCTTGAGAGATGGATCACTTGGCTTGTTGTACCCATTTGCAACAATGTCCACCGCATTAAGGGTTGCAATTGCAGCACCTAAACTGTGCCCAGTTAATGTTATGCTTATTTCTTCATTCTTATATTTCTCCACAAGCCTTCTCACCTCACTCAGGACCTGCACATATATATAATAAGTCAATATCAAATAAAATAATGTTATATATACTGTCATTGATTTGTAGTGAAATTAATATTCTCCCCTGAACATTAATTAATCTAATTCTCTTTCCTCTGTTTGGCAATGTTTCAAAGATCAAAGATTGAATGCCACTTTCACAGGAGGGTTTATGAAAAGGGACAGAATCATTTGCATTATTGAATATTTAAAATAACTAAACGAAACAAGCATATGTCTAATATATAAAATTATTAGTGTGACTTTCACTCAATAACTTAATAATTTGGATTGAATTAATACTTTAAATGATAACATATCATATAATCTAGTGGTTACGAGTTTGATTTTGGTGTCATGTGTTAGAATTAATTACATGTATTTAATTACCTGGGTTCTGGCACTGGTCTTATTGAAAGGAGAACGTGGGTCTTCAGAAGTGTAAATGGAGTACCAGCCTTGGTGAACTTTAGGATCAGTGTTATTACCAAACACTTTGGGAGCAGGGACAAAAATGAACTGAAGATCATTAACCCACTCCAAGGTCTGCACTGTTCCTCTCCACGCAATCACAATGTCCCTTCTACCTAACACAGCTTTCCCTTCATCTGTGGCCACCGCAACATACCCAATCCAATTTGATTCCTTACTCCAAGCCTCCCTGGACAAGGGCTTTATGATAAACGCTTCAGGGACATGGATGTTTGACGTTGCATAAAGAAACTTGGTCACGGAATACTTGAAGGGATTGCCATTTTCCAAAAACACCTTGGAGAAGAAATCTCTCTTCGCATACCTGCTGCTTCCAGCATACTTTGATGCTTTCTCTGTGTTGAAAGCATCGTATGTCGCTTGAGCCATTTCGCCATAGCGTATTATGCACTGACGCAGGTCAATATCAAGAGGATCTAGCATACCTTTCCAATGATTTTGGCCGCTGAGTTGTCGCCATTTTTTAGGTATATTGTTCTCCATCTTCTTCTTCAAACCGATCCACCTTGTTATGACCACTGCTACTGCATGTTTTATATATGGAACCAGAGAGACCTTGGTCTTCATATACTCCTAAATTAATGATTATCTGACTTTTGAAGTATATGCCACTAGCTATGTGATTCTAAGTTTTATCCAACCAAATATATACAATGTAAAAATATTAATATACTAGTATATAGTATATAGTATATAATAAGGTTCAAATTACATATTGGGTACACGTTTCAATGAATAAAATCTTCATTTCTTTCTTTTACTTCTAACTAAATAGTAACAATAAAAAAATATTTAATGTTTCTTGGGAGAGTAAGATATAACTTTATCTTTTCTGCCCATACATCAAAGAGTGGCGAAGTTGGGTTTTAATTTGAGTCCACCCCAAAAATTATATGTATATTTATTTTTTTAATTTTAATTAATTTATATTATAATATATTTAAATTATGTTAAATACAAAGCACATGAGCAGACAACACTAAGAAAAATTATAATTTTATTAAATATTTTTTAATTTCTTGTTATACAAGTGAGAATTGAACACATAACCTAATATAACTTACCCAAATCTCTTACCAAATATATCTTAATTTTTAGATAGGGCAAAATACAAATTTAAGCCGGACCAAAGTATAATTAATTATATAATTATATGTAATAAGTATAATTTATTAAAATTTAGCCTAGACCGAAGTCACTCCCAGCTACTAAGTGGCTCCACCACTGCATCAAAGTGGGCGGATCATCTTTTTTTTTCTTCTTACAGGGTCTCATCCATTTTCACGTGTATGTAGTGGATAACATGTGAGAGAAACATTAAATTCATAAAAAGATTATCTTTCAATATTTTTTTTTATTCTTTTGAGTTCTTAATATATAATTAAATGATTTAATATTTTTCATGTTATAAGAGATAACATTATCTCAAAAAAAAAAACTTATAATGGAGACAACTATCCGGATGATGTTCACTTTCAGCCTTCATGTTGTATGCTTAATTGAAGGGCTTCTCCTTGAAGTGTCAGCCATATCGCCTAATCACTTGTTAAACCTTTTAAACAACTGTGACAAGAGATAATGTTGTGATTATAGATTAACTTAATTAGTATATATGTATATATACTTCATCTACATTCTAAAGTTAAATATTATTTCTTTTCCCCGCAAATCATGGTATAACTTTCCAAGAAAGAGTATTCGTTCAAGTAATGTCTTGTCCAAATGTTAAAAAATTGAATATTGAAGGCTTGCAAGGCATTCTAAAAATTGGCGGTGACTTAACCCAAAGAAAAACAGCAGTACCTTTCAGTTAGGCAGGGATGATAACAACATCGCACTCAAAATTAGAAACTTCCTAAGTTAATTTCACTTTTCCAATACCTCAAGCAAAGGTTCTACCCCTTTCTAGGGGATCAAAGTGCGTGGAGCAATAGCTGTGAAGTCAGGCTAGGTACTATGCGTCACTTGCCCATACTAGCTCGTCTTCAAAGACCATTCCCCTGTTGGAGCAGAGTAAATACTAATCCTGGCCCCACATGAAACTATTTGTGTTTGCAAACAATATTCAATTATAAACCTATCAAATTATATAACCGGCACTTATATTTACAAATTTTTTTGTTTATAAACTTTTACAAATTACATTATGTAGGACTGGTCTTACATTAATCACACCGTGTACGACCAGTCCTACATTAGTGTAATTGCAAAAAAAATTTGTAAACATAAAATTACGGTAATCAATTAATTATTCCCGCTAATTTCAGTTATCACGATCTTTTCTCTCTACTTAAATCTTTAGAGTAATTATTTTCATTCTACAACCTAAAATAAAGCCAAGCGATGAAAAAAAAAAGTTCTACAAAGAAAATAAATAACACGTCAAAACAACTGCAATCCACTATGCTTTGCCACAAATAAATCAAAACATAAGTATTCGTGCCAGTTACTATCCGTGTAATTCCGTAAGCAAAGATAAACGTAGTATATATATGGCAGTCACGCACTTTTGAAATTAGAAATATAAATTGACCACATGATCTTAAGTTGATGTGGAAATCCTTATGTGTATGGCATCAGATTATAGTACTGCCTGTTTTTGCAAATTTTTATGTCCCGCGGTAGATTCTTATTTCTCAGCCTTCAAGTTACAAACACGCGATGCGCGTATATAGTATTATTGAGATGCTTGCAAGTTGAAGAAGACAGGTATTTTCAACTAATTGGTTAGATACTTTCGTGACTTGCCAAGACAAAGCTTAAAAAGGGGTAAAGTCAAGAAAAAGAAAGGGACTGCGTTCCCCCCCGAGCTGGGATTTCATACATGTAGCCCTCTAGGAGACGTTAGGAACCACCTAGATGTTGTATCTCTCCACTATAAAGCACGGACACGTGCTTTCTTTAAAAAAAATTGTGTGTGGGACATGTTTAGACACCGACATGTGTCCTATACGCGATTAATATTTTGGTAAACATAGTCAACACTCTGACACCTAGCTAATATTTTTTGACACCCGGTCAACATTCATACTGATTCAAATTTTATTTTATTCATATTTTAAACTAAACATGAAAAATTAATTTATAAATCAAATATTTTCTATTATGTAATTTGACCTTGAAAAATTAACACGACATGAAAAAATATTTTTGCTTTATATTATGTTAAGGAATTTAAATATTTGATTGGTTATATGACTTATTATGAGCTGCTATATATATTAAATGTAAACTATGTTATATATATTAAAAATATTATTTAATATTAAAATATGTTCTAACGTGTCGAAATTTAATATTTTTTAGAATTAACATGTCAGAGTGTCATGTAATATTCCATGTTGTGCCGATGCAAGATAGTATCTTTACACAATTTTTACCTTAAAAATGTATTCTTAGTTACCATTTGATCTCAATGTTTAAAGATATAATGTATAAAATCATGAAGGTAGTTAAGGTAGCCTTCACTTAAATAATTATGAGTTTTAACCTAAAATTTTAAGCTTGCAAGTGGTTAACTTTTAATGGTTATATATATATATATATATAGTCAGAATCATTTTACATCAATGTCAATTACACTCTCAATCTTGATCGTTAATCCTATTTATATCTAACGGTTCTGATTTATTGGATATTTGAGCCGTTAGAAACAAGCAAATCAATGATCAAGATTTGGTGTAAGCCTTCTTATTCTTATACCGGTGTCAAACTTTGAAATTTGACTCCAAATCCTAACCGTTGATTTTCGTCAATCAACGGTTATTATTTATTGAGAATTAATAATTATTTATAACCGTTGATTGGCAAAAATTAACGGTTAGAATTTGGTGTCAAATTTCAAAGTTTGACACTGGTGTCAAAGAATCCTATTTGTGTGTGTGTCTATATATATATATATATATATATATATATATATGGTTATATTTACAAACTTTTTGTTTACAAACTACACTATCTATTATGGGTAGTACAAGAGAGAGAGAGAGAGAGAGAGAGAGAGAGAGAGAGAGAGAGAGAGAGAGAGTAGGGTTATATTTACCCCTTTGAGGTGAGTCGGCATTTTGGGTATCTCCACAAGTTTTAACTCTTTGAGCCGACTGTGAGACTAATCACGATTCAGGTTTTTAATAGTTTTTAAATTATATTTCTCTAACACACCCCAAAACAAGAGTCGTTTGAGGTTGAAGCAATTGCACAGATCCAATTTTTTTATTCTACCTTGTGATGACTTAATTACACTTTAAAATGGAAGGGTGATGATTAAACTCGTGACCCCGTCGTCACCTTGGCTCTAATACAGTAATACTATATAAAACAACTAATTCAACCTAACAACTTAAGCTTATAAGTGATAAGTCTTCAATATTTTTTATATTAATCTCTATAAAAAAGGTAAAAATATGGACATGTGCATTATTCACACTTTAAGTCTGAGAGTTAGAGTTATTGTGTGAATGGGCATACTACTAAGATATTCTATGTTTAACAACTTAAATTTTTTGAATGAATTTACGTTCAGCGAGCAATGTCCTGGTTCATGTTTTTTGACCCGTTAACAAATACGTGTCGCGTATGGGTCGTGTAATTTCGTGTACATGTCGTGTCGTGTCGGGTTGACCTGTATTGCCACCTCTACATATTACATGTGGCATAGGATCGAGGAACTGAAGGAGAAAATTCATCAAAAATTGGGGATGCATGGAAATCAAGTTGTTTCTTAATTGACAGCTAAAACTTGTGTTGATGATGGTGAATACACCGATGTGCTGATTAATAATGATGGTGAATACAAGGTGGTTTATTGAGTTGTACATAGATGTTTAATATGCTGAGGATTTGTCACTACTGATTAGGTCACTTGATCTCAATCACAAATCATATATTAGTAACGATCACAAATATGCATGCATCATCATTTGTACCTTTACCAGATTTCAATCATATAACAATAGAGGATGAAGATGACCCAATCTGAATGCTCGACAGAGATGACAACGACAATGAGGATGACGAAGACGAAAACACCTATCTAGTTGCTGAGGTGGAGAATGATCTTAATCCAAGACGTGGGTGAAGGTTAATTAATTGACCGATTCAAACATTTATGGTTGTTTTTATATTTACTATGTTCTTATATATGATTTCGATATATGTATATTGTAGGCAATAGTATAACTCCATTTTAGAATAACATTTTGTGTTACACTTGTGTTACACTTATGTTGATTGGGAGTATTCAGATGAGGAGCTAGAGTATCAAGGTGCATGGAAAGTTGATGATGAGTTATTTGTTAAACAAGATTTTAAATCCAAAGAAGCAGTGCAAATGATGGTCAAGTCATATTGTATGAAAGTACATCAAGAAGCTGTGGTAGTTACGAGTATGACAACCAAGCTAGTAAAAAAATGTTAGAACCATGATGTTGGTTGCACAAGGCGAATGAAATCAAAGAATGAAAATATGTAGGTGGTAAGTAGGTGGGTTGGACCTCACAATTGTGTGAACCGATATCTATCCCAAGACCACATGTAACCATCACTTCTATCTGAGCCCATCACGACTCATATGTGCCGTGTCTCCCATAAGTTAAAATAAATTATTAATAATAAGACTAAATCTATTAAAATACAAAATTAAATTAAGAAAAATATTATATAACATTATAAATATATTTTAAATATTCTCTAACAAAACCAACCTTTTTATTTTTTTCCCTAAAAGTAATATATTTTGTTAGCAAAGCAAGGAGAGCCTAAAGTAGGAGAACTACAATCAATGGGTTAAGCGAAAATTTCCCACAATAAATGGATTTGACACCATGTATGAATCCAAAATCTTAAAACATTAAGTTCATAAGTCCTCCCAATTATATAGCCTTCACTTAGACCAATGTCAACCAATTTGGGATTGCAATATCCCAAAAATCTCTCCGTCAACGGAGGTCCCTTCGAGTACCCTAAGTCCAACTATTCAACTTACCTCTAGCCAAACATTTGGCTAGCCTAAGCTCATATTCTGGCTCTGATAACACTGTCAGACAGATTAGGGAGACCATATAAATTCATGGATCATCCTACTTATATAATCTTCACTTAATCTATTATCAACTAATATGATACTCAATCACGCTTAAATATCCTAACGTATTTATAATATTTGAATTCATCATGTTGGTGCATTTAATTTAAAACGTATATTAATATTATCCATATGATTTACCCATTCTTTGTTTTGGTGATATATATTGTAAATAATAAAGTCTTAATCATATATTTTTGGTACTATTGAAAATACTATGAAATTAAACATAATCTTTCAAAATTTCCTTTATTTCAGACTAAATCAATCTTTTAACTTATAAGTAATGGTTGGTTGACCATTTTTCCTTCCTTTTCATTTTTTTCCCACTTTCCTCCCTTCTTAAATTGTATATTAATTTTTCCATCTTTTTAAACTATATATCAATCTATATCTTCTTAATTAAAGTTTAAACAACACAAACTCAAGTAAATGAGTCTACTCAAATAAGTCATTTACATCAATTACAGTGTTAAAGAAAATATTTACTAAGGTAAACTCTCAGATTAAACCTTTATAGATTACAGTGTGTTATCACATCAAATATTTAGAAAAATATCAAATAATGTTTTTAAAGATTTAAAAAGTCACTACTATATTTGTCTGCATAGAAAACTAATTAAAGTGCTGACACAAAATAATCAATTCAATAACTAAATTGTATCTTTGATAGACTAATTTAGTGGCAAAAAATTAAAATTAAATTTACAACTTTTATCCGATTTTAGAAAGTCAGATAGATGGGTGGATGGACAATCAATGCATTAGAGTGCTGTCATTCTCCAACAAAATTAAGTCTATATATGTCCTGCTACCAAATGATAATTATTTGAAAATATTATATGTTTGATTTTATTTAATTTAATGAACAAAATCCAGCCTTCGTTCTTTATCTGTAATTTTTACATGACTTTTTTGCTTATTATAATTTCATAACTTAAGTTTGAAACATATAATGCTTGATTCGTGAATAATTTATATTTTAGTACAACTTTTCAGTAACTTTGATAGTTTATATTTTAGCTTTTGAAAGAAGGATCAGTTCATTTATCCTAAATTTTTATGCAGAAAAAGAAAAGCACAACTTTCCAAATATGGATAGTATCCTAAAGTTGAAACGGATGATCACTATCTTTTGGCTTGGAATAGCAAACAAACGACCTAACACTAACAACCATCACGTTGAAGTATGAGAAGGTGCAAGCTAACATGAAAGCGATGACGAAAGTGCGGGCTAGTGATGGATAAAAATTTGCAGTGGGAACTTTGGCTCAGTAGAGCAACTCTGTTAATGTGATTGGGACATTTTTAGTTTGTTTAACAAACACTATCTTGATTTCGTTCAAATTTATTTCTTATGTGTTAGCCTGATCTGGCATTAAGGGCTCTGATGTTAATGGAGAGAGACATTTTATTTTTTCTGAGCCTATATATATGTAGTTTTATTTTGATTGTAAATGTTATAATTTTAATATTTCTATTCTCTCTGTTTTTTTAGGGCTTAACAAAATATATATTGTTATAGTAAATGTGTAATTATACGATATCCTACTTATCAATATATATGTTTTATTATGATTTAAGTGAAAACATACGAGTAAGAATTTGCAATTTTATTTGGACGGGAAGATTAGATTGACTCGATGGATAATAGATATTTTGATTCATGATAAGATTAATAATATTGATCTCCGTATATTTAATGATTATAATTTATTTGAAATTAATAATTAATTAGTAGATATGAGAATAGATCTTTTGACTCTCGTATAAGATAAGAAAACTCACTGCTCATTTCAAACATTATAATTTATTCGAAATTAATAATTAGTTAATAAATATAACTCAAAAAATTACAATCATCAAATGCAATAAAATCAGCGGATGGAATGATAAGTAAGATTTTTTAATTTTAAACCAGAATCAACAGATCCTCCTTCATATATATTTATATGATTCAAGGGATTTCTAGAATTATCTATGTGACATTAGAAAACTCTACATTCACTTACAAATTCGCATAAGAAATAGGTTAATTTTTTTAATATCAATTTTAAATGAATAAAATTTTAAAGTTTAATTACATAAATAAATAATGAAAATATAGGTAGATTAAATAGTCCATAACCTATATAAAAAACCTGAGTAGAATTTATCTTAGCTAAATCATACTTTATTTATTGTTTACCAGCCGTATACGACGCAATCTTTCATGGGTTGGCCAAAATGAATTGGGCCAACCCAAATTTACACCCGACATACGTATAACGTGTTAATGGACCATTCCACTTTCAGACCACAAATTTCCTTTCGTTTCTTAATAAATTTAGTAAAATTACTTATGTACTTTGATTTTGATATCATCAAATGTTCCACGGATAAAATATGAAAACTTTTAAAATATGGGGTATGATCCGTTTACAAATTTTTTTACAAATTTTTACAAAATACAGTATCTTCTCCCGGGAGAATATAGTGTAACTAGTGTTCTCTCGGGAGAAGATAGTGTAGTTTGTAAACAAAAAAAATTGTAAATATAATCTGCCCTTAAAATATGGTAAAATTACTAGATATCTCTGATTAGTAAAAAATTGAAGTTTAAGTCGAATATATTATAAATAAGTTATTGCCCATATTTAAATCAGTATTATTATGATGTTAACAAAATTTAGAGAGATACTTTTATTGAAAAAGAAAAAAAAATGAGTTTAGAAGATTTTTCCACATATATATATATATATATATATAGTTTAAAGTTTATAAAGTTACTTTAGATAACTTTATTTAATCTTTACTAAAATACACACACACACAAAATGTGTATGGTTCATGTGGAACCATGTGAAAAAAAGAGAAAAAAAAAAGAAACATGAGCCCTACACACTTTTATGTATATATTTTGATGAACATTAGATAAAATTAATTAAAGTAACTTTAGAAATTTTAAACTCATAAAAAAATAAATATAGTTATTTTAAAATGTTACACTTAAATGGAAAAATAAACAAATATAAGACCAAAGTAATATATTATTCTCGTGGCAATATTTTTATAAAGTTACAAAAATCTCAACTTATTGTTTCAAATTTATTAGTGAATTTTAAATTAGTCTTTCAAAAATTAATATACGATAACATTAGTTTTATAATATATGTGGTAATAATATGTGTTGCTCGGACATCGATTCGTAACACGGGATGCAATACGATATAATATTCTGACACGCTAATTTTAAAAAATATTAAATTTCGACATGTTTTGATATTAAATAACATTTTTACTTTATGTATAATATATTATATTTAATATTCAATAATTTAAAAAAAAATAAAGCTAAAATTATAATACATATTAATTTTGCAAAAACATATAAGATATCATAAATATTTATATTAAACTTAATAAAATAGTAATCGTAATCCAACAAATATAATAGTCTGAATTGAAAATGCAACGCAGTGCGATCTAACCTCTCAACCATTTTTTTAGTTTCTACAATGCATGTTGGAGTGTCGAGAAAAGTCGAACACAATAAGTTACATTTTTTAAAATGTCGGTGCATCATAAGTATTAATCAATCATTAATTCAGAGATTTATAATGTCATCTACTAAAAAAAAAATTAAATTTCACAATATTAATTTTATGAAAAACTAAAATAGTAAAGAATATTGATTTCACAATATTAATAGAATACTTAGAAAAATATGGGAAAATAGAAGTATAATATTATAGAAAAATATTTAGTTTATGTTATAGAGATAGAGATTGTGGGACCCATACTTTTTATTTTTTTTAGTTTTTGAAAATAAATATAGGTCCCACAATTTCTATCTCTATAACATAACCTAAACACTTTTCAATAACATTGTACTTTTTTTTCCCAAAAATATATACCAATGGTTTCCTATAAATTTGTTGTTTTAGTTTATTTCAGAAGTGTTGGGCCAAAATGGATAAGGGATCCGAAAATAGAAGAAAAGACCGTTCATTGTAATTTGTGCCACCTTTAACATTTTCCCTCTCTTTTCACGAACCTCCTTCTTCATTAACTTGTTTTTCTCTCTGTCTCCGAGACAGACACTCAGAAAACGACGTCTTTGTTTAGTGTTACTGTTAGGTTCCTCTCTCTCTCTCTCACTCTCTATGTTATTGCGAACCAGACAACTCTAATCCTATTCTCTATCACCATTGCAAATGGTAGCTGGCAGGGTCAAGGTAGCAATGGGTTTGCAAAAGTCGCCGGCACCACCAACCCCTCCGCCCTCCTCCGCCAACAAGTCTTCCTCTCACAAATCCCGCTCCATCGGTGCGTACTTCCCACGCTCCTCTGCTCAGGTTCAGCCTCGCCCTCCCAACGTCGCCGACCTCCTCCGCCTTGTCGAGGACCTCCGTGAGAGAGAGTCTCAACTGAAGACCGAGCTCCTCGAACACAAGCTCCTCAAGGAAACCGTCGCCATCGTCCCTGTTCTCGAGAACGAGATCATCGCCAGGGACACACAGATTCTAAGGAACGCCAAGATAATGGAAGAAATGGAAGCAGAGAACCATAGGTTAAGAAATGAGCTCGAAGAACTGAAGTTCCAAATCCAAGAAGAGAAGAAACAGAACCTGATGAAAACCAAGGCATTGGAAGATGAGATGGCGGAGCTGAAGAAAACGGCGTCGGATGCATTGCGAAACGACGAGGTTTCTTCTTCGCAGAGGTTTCAAGGGCTAGTCGAGGTGTCAATGAAGTCGAATCTGATCAAGAACTTGAAGAAAACGGCGTCGGTTCAAGGAAGCGGGAACCAGAAGCAGCTCGAAGCTACTTTTACTGATTTCAAACGAGAGGTGCCGGAAACGGAAAGGGAAAGGGAAAGGCCACGTCACTCGCTGTTTGACTCGGACGAACTCGCTCACTCCACTGACTCAGTTCTAACCAGATCACGCGCGCCTCGGATACCCAAACCGCCGCCGAGGCCGTCCTCTTCGTCACCGCATTCGCCGTCGACTGGTTCCTCTGATTTTGCTCCGTCGGAGAACAATAAATTCGAAACAGAGCAAGCGATTCCACAACAACCGCAGCTAGCTCCTCCTCCGCCGCCGCCCAAGGCTGCTCCGCCTCCTCCTCCACCGCCGCCGAAGGGGAGCAGGCAGGTTACGGCGATGGTGAGGAGGGTGCCTGAGGTGGTGGAGTTTTACCACTCGTTAATGAAGAGGGAATCACAGTCACGGCGGGACTCGAGCTCCGGCATGGCGGAGGCACCGCCGACGGCGAATGCACGTGATATGATCGGCGAGATCGAGAACCGGTCATCTCACCTGCTCGCGGTAAGTGTGTCTAGTCTTCGCTGAAATTGCGGTTTTGCCACTGACCATTTGTGTCAGTGTCAAGTGGTAACTCGCTTGCTTTAATTTGAAATGGATTTCTTGGCACATAAGACAGTAATCAGATACGAATTTGGATGCCCAGAACCGTAAATATGCTCCAAAGTAGTGTCACTTTATGGAACCACATGTTTGCTTTTTTAATGGTCAAACAGGAAAAAAAAATTAATACGATCCATAAACTGAAATCAATTAATGTTAAATATGGTTAGGTTAGTTTAAGTTGTTAATTTAGCATAGATTAAGGTGATTTTATCCAATTTCTTCGTATTCAGATTAAGACGGATGTGGAAACACAAGGAGACTTTATTAGGTACTTAATCAAAGAAGTGGAGGGTGCCGCGTTTACAGAGATTGAAGACGTTGTGCTCTTTGTTAAATGGCTTGATGACGAGCTCTCCTATTTGGTATTTAATTTTATGTTACCTTTTAACATTTCTTCTATGTTTAAATTGAAAATAAGATAAAAAGAGAAGATTCATTTTAAATGGTTTTTTCGGTTTGTTGTTTTTATTTCAGGTGGATGAAAGAGCAGTGCTGAAACATTTCGATTGGCCAGAGCAGAAGGCCGATGCTCTGCGCGAGGCTGCATTTGGGTATTGTGATCTGAAGAAGGTAGAAACCGAGGCTTCGTCCTTCCTCGATGATCCTAGGCAGCCGTGTGGTCCTTCTCTCAAAAAGATGCAGGCTCTCTTGGAAAAGTATGTGAATTCGTGAAACTCTCCCCCACTTGCCAATATAATAGCAACATCACTTATAAAATATTGTGAATTGAAAGCCTCAGAGAACACACTAACTTTGTGGTAAAAATGCGTTATGCCAGATTAGAGCATGGAGTTTACAATATCTCAAGAATGAGGGAGTCAGCAACAAATAGATACAAAGTCTTCCAAATACCCGTACATTGGATGCTTGACAATGGTTTGGTGAGTCAGGTAATTTTCATGTACCAAATAGGAAGTTACATATGCTTAACTGTAGCTGCATCCAGCAAATATAGAGTAGACTACCAATTATCTTCCATGTCTCGTTAGATTAACTCAAATAATTAATTTTGTGGATTTCTAAAGAATAATCTTAGCCTTATTTATTGGTAGTGTTCGTTTTAAATAGGCCTATTAAGAAATATGAATGTTTAATTATGTCTGGAAAGATACAACCGAAACATTTAAAACATTAAAAAAAAAAAAAACATTTGTCTTGGTAAAGTTTGCCATCAAGTATCTAGTATAATCAACAAGGTGCAGTGCTGGTAGCAAAATGACAAAGCAATGGTTGGACTTTTACTTCTGTTTCCCTGTGCGTATCTGCTGCATGCGCACGTGAATTCCCAGATCTCTAAAATCTATCTGTTTGTCTGCTTCGGCCTTTTAACTTGAGAAAAAAAAAAAAAAAAAAAGAACGAGATTCTCTTTTCTTGACTGTTAACAGCATTCAAAGGCACACTAGGAAGGATAATATATTCTGTATGTTTTAAATAATTACATGAATAATAAAGTAAAGAACACCAATTAAGGGCATGGATTTCAGGGTAGTTTGCTATTACAATTTTCTAGCTATATAGTGACGAATGATGGCGCAAATTCTCAAATGTTGATTACCTCATTTCACTTATTGTGCTTGCAACGTTATGTTGTGGCAGATCAAGCTGGCATCTGTAAAATTAGCCATGAAGTACATGAAGAGAGTCTCTGCTGAACTTGAGACAGGTGGTGGTGGTCCTGAAGAAGAAGAGCTCATTGTTCAAGGAGTTAGATTTGCATTCCGTGTACATCAGGTAAATCCTCGAATAATAATACAAAATAGGTGCCTTTTCAAATACAGGGGCCATCTGATCTGGAATAATGAGTTGTTGATATTTGGCAGTTTGCTGGAGGGTTTGATGTTGAGACAATGAGGGCATTCCAAGAATTGAGAGATAAAGCGAGGTCATGCCATCTTCAATGCCACAGCCAGCAACAGAAATTCTTTTGCAGGTCTGCAACATGCTAGTGCTGACTGGAGCAAACTCAGCTTTAGAAAATTAGTAGCCCCGTTTTTGCTGTATAGATAGTGACATTTTGTTTGTGATGGTTACCGTATTCATAATTCAACCATTCATTAACGAGATATATATTTCTCTTCCTAAAAGATATAGCATTATTTTTGTGAAAAATATATAAAATTATTAATGTAAATTTACTTAACAACTTAAATTTTTAGGTTAAATTAATTTTTTACAATTTTTTTGTAAGTGAAATTAGAGTGTTTTAGTATAATATTTGGTTGGAAATTTAATTGTGAATGATAAAAAATTTGTAAGTGATTAAAATTTTGGGTCAAAACGTGATGTTGGATCCGTTTATTATAGGTATATTGTTTAGGTTCATTTTTTTTTTTTTTTTTGATAAACAGTTTAAGTCCGTGGTATATTTGTTGGGTTCATAACCATTGGTAGGGCTATGACTCATTTTGTTTTTTGAATTGTTTATTTTACTGGATTTGTTTGTTTGCCCCAAAATATCTTTCTTTTTATAAGAATTTACTTCTTGATTATTTTATTTTAAATTAACTACATATTTTAATGAAATATTATATTTTACTTTAAAAAAAAAAACATTTTCCCCTTCATTAATTACCGGGAAAGGGAAACAAGACAGTTAACATCGATTAGTTTCCTCTCGTGCATGTTCTGTCGGGAATAGGGTGTTTGCGGTCTGGATTGGATCAGTTTTGGAAATAAAAATCATCCGATCCAATACTTTCGGTTTGATTATATAATCATCTATTCGGTTTTGATTTTTTTCAAATCCGATCCGATCCAATCCAATTTTTTTCGGTTTAGATTGGATCGGTTTTCGGTTTTATGAAAATCTTAAAATTTATTTCATAATTAGTGTGCAAATAACATCTTTTGTATATATTGGCTTTGTATTTTTTTTTTTGAAATACAAAAGCATTAGTAAACTATAATATAATTTTTTTAATTTTAGCAATGAGATATGAAGTTCTACAAAGATAAAATTTTGTTGATGAGATATGACTAGATTTTTTCTTGGGTTTAGTTGATGAGTTAATGAGTCTTGGGTTTAGAAATTTTTAGGCTATGATTAGGGAAATACCCAAGTAGGTAGAGGGAAATTAATATATTGGATCGGTTTTCATCAACCCATCCAAAAACCGATCCAATCCAATTAAAATTTGTGGTTTTTAATCGGTTTTCGGTTTTTCAGTTTTCGGTTTATTCGGTTATCGGTTTTTCGGTTTATTCGATTATCGTTTTTTCGGTTCGGTCATAGCGGTTTGAATCGGTTGATGAACACCCCTAGTCGTGAATTCCTTCCAAATCCGCTACTCTAATACTATTATTTTGTTTAATGATTTATTAATATCTAGTGACTGAATTAATTGAATCGATAAATTTTTTAAGGCAAATAAAAGTTGGCTCAACTTTTTTTTGCTTTAATTTTTTTTTTTAACTGAACCTAAGAAATAAATCATAAAACACCACAACAAAGAAATAAAAAGTTGCAGTCTATTAATTGGCTCAGTTTGTTATTTTTAATTTTTTTAAACAAAAAACAATGCAATATTTTTTAAAGGTATAATGAAATTTAGAAGTGTTATATACATATTTCTTGTTAATAAGGATGGAATAAGGAGGAGATAATTTAAATTTGGCCATTCGTACTATCACTATCAGTAAGGACCAACACAAGTTGCTCTCAGATTCACTTTATGACAAGCATGATGTAGGGTGTATTCCATCCTGATATTGCATGTAATGAAATACTCTTGAAGAGAGGCACTTTCAATTTTGGGTTGTTCTCTCTGCATATTCACTTTGCGGCATTTTAGCACTTAATTTTTTATCCATAACATTTTTATTATTATTCGAGATTAATGAAGTTAATAAAAGTATTTGTCTCATTTTTTAAGCTATCACTTGTTGAAATTTCCATCTATTTTCAATTCAAATAATTAAGGAAGATATACAAATTTTAAAAAATTTGTTACTTAGCTAATTTCTTCAGCTTAATCAGATAGTTAACAAAAAAAAAAAAAAAAAATAACTTATCGTGCATGATCCACTGGGTTCAAACAAATGTGTTGATGGCGGAGCTATAGGTTACGTGGAAGGGCATGCCAAAAATGTTAGCTAGATTGCTTCTGTAAAGAAAACGACCAGTGACATTAAAGTAGTAGTAAAAGGAGAAAACGCCCTTTTCTTTCTTGGAAGGAAAGAAACAGTTTCACTAATAGAATTAATCGCGTAGCTGTTACAACAAGTATGGAATAGCTTACATGGTCTTGCACCAGCCCATGGTACAGTTCAATATCATTATGTGATAAAATAAAATTAATTTATACCCTTACAAAATAGTTTTCTTGATATGCAAAAATTTTGATCTCTCTGAGGAGCTTATTTTGTTTTGGAACTCTGTAAATTATTCTTCTTATAGAATCCTAAAATTTTACAATTGATTTTCACCCCTTCTTAGTATTATCATCCAAATAAGGAAGATATTCTAAAGACACTAACTGAATATATATAACCAAGGGATGAAGAAAATGATCAAGTTGTATGGACTTTCACCTTCACTTGGTGAGAGCTGCATATAAGAGTTGGTTCCAAGTATCAGGTAATCCTGGCAAGCACCAGTGGCTGCAGTCATTGCCTGCGTGATCCCCGCTATAGGCAGAAGGGTGTGCATCTTTTCTTAGTTGTGAAAGGAGTGTAATGTCAAGTAAATAAACTGGATTATTCATCTTCTTTAACACTGTGTTCACTATGGTAGTTGCTGGAGGTAGACCTGCTGGATATGTTGACCCTGACAATGGTTCAAGTTCTCCACTACAACTTCTTTTCGGTTGATTCCACTCCTTGCCTCTGTTTGAGTTACAAACATATCATAAAATACGTTTCAGTTGATCTTAACTGCATTGGTGCACATATTAAATGCTTCTAAACCAAGTTCTAATTTCTCTGTTGTTTTCTGGTAGTTTTGAAAAACAATCATCACAATTTAAATTTATGGTCCCTTTTTTAAATCTCATTTTTTGGTACATTAAAAAGTATTACAATTTACAACCCGATCTTATGATTTTTATCTAAATCATTATTGATATCTGCTCCATTTTCAATTAAATCAATGTTATAAACTACAAAGAGTTTTGAGAGGTAAATTTAGCTACTGATAAGCATAGAAAATTAGTTAATGTTCTAGTCTCAATTATACTAATTTTATAAACTACAAAGCGAATTTTGGCCTTTAAAAAACATAAAAGGAGGGGCATAGGAGTTACTTACTGATAATGAGTAGGAGAAATGCCTTGAAAGAAGACTTTAGTTTTGGTAGGATCAACATTGAGATCAACCCATCTAGCCCAAGTAGTCAATCCCTTATAGTATGCCTCCAAACGGTCCATGTTCTTGAGCAGATTGGGTCCATCTCTTATATAATCCCATCTGAATATGACAATCATCAACAACCGTTAGGTCAGAGCGGAAAATAAAAGGAACAATGAATGGATGAGGTAATACTAAGAGTAGTGCTAACAACTTTAAACTTGCAACTGCATAAAATTTAAAGGTTTTTTAGGAAAGCATCTATTTTTTTTAACACTAAGCATGCTTTATTTTATAAACACTTGCAGTATCTCTGGAGTAATATAAAATTCCCCTTATACATTTTTTTTTTCATTTTTTTAAAAATTATTTTTCTATGAGGATGCTGGCAGTTCTGCAGTTTTATGTGGTTTTGTCTCTACGGTGTTGTGCAGTAAGTAGAATAATGTTACATAAAAGCATACCCCTGAGTTTTTCCGGTGTGGGTCCACCAGTGCCAAGAATTGAAAATCAACATGTCCATGCCTTTCCATGCATTTCCAGCCACAATGGAGTTCAATGTGAGCACTCGGCCAACGTTTTCTCGAATTATGTCAACCAAATATGGTGTGCGGTATAGTTGTATTGTTACTCCATAGTCCTGCACAAACTCACCAACAAGTATATCATCACCAAGAATCCACCAATCCACTTTGAATGGCCGAGATTATATTTCATCACCCCCAGATATTTGACAAACCAGACAATAAATGCATAACAACTAGGATTCACGATAGGCATTCATTCATTCTTATACAAGGAGAAGGCTAATGATATTTATATCACTTTTTTACTTTTACAAATTAATAAGTATAAAAATGACTAAAGAATTTTAACGTAGAAACATCATTTTCAAAAGGAGAAACATGAATGCTTAAAATGTTCACATGGATAATAGTAACAATCTACAAACCTACTCTGTCAAGGTCAACTTTTAAATAGAAAAAAAGATAATGAAGCTATCACATCACTCTATGCTACACATTTTTATAATTATTAATAATTAATAATTAATAATTGTTATATGTTAATAATATTTTTATTATCATTAATTATTATTATTTTAAAATTTATTAGTATAGAATCATAAATTATCAACGAAATAAAGTTGGGGCATGATATTCTTGCACAAGAATAAAAAGTGTTACATCAAATCTTGATCATTGATTTGCTTGCATCTAACGGCTCAAATATTTAATAAATCAAAATCGTTAGATATAAATAGAATCAATGATCAAAATTGAGAGTGTAACTTATACCGGTGTAAAATAATCATGACCCAATAAAATTAAGTACATACATATTATTGAATTTATAACTTTTATTATTCAATTTAAATTTTAAAAATATAATACGGTTCATTATTTTAAGAAGTATCACAGTGGATCTCATAAAAGTAATGTAATAAAAGGGAGTTTAAGAAGTACCACAATGAATTCATTGAAACTTGATCGACGTAAACGTTTTTGAATCTATAGAATATTGGAATAGTTAACTATAAACATTGGAAAACTGTGATTAATCAAACTGTGAGATTTGTCTCTTTCTTAGGTAGGAATCTTGTGAATTTATCTGGGTTTCCACCTTGTGTCAATATGCTTGGGAGTTACTACCAAATTTTTATCTGCAACTACGATTTCTTGCATTATTTCCTATTTTTAACCGTTGATTCAGTTCTGAAATTTTTCCGGGTTTCAAAATTATTATGCATTTTGTAGCTTAACAACGTTGACATTCCATAAATGGTATTGAAATAAGATGTCAACTACCTCCAGCCTGTCAACTACCGGAGATAACTCAGGTTTAAAACTCTGTTTAAAACTCAGTTTCATGGCTTAATTTTGGTGATGAAACAATTTTCAGTTCCCTGAACTCTACATTTTCGTGTCAAAATCAGGCCTTTCTCCTAAGTATAATTAGAATTTTGGGTTTCCTTGAATGAAAATATGTGTGGTTGTTTTATCTGCTTTTTCTTTTGGGGTATTACTGTATTAGCACCTTTATTGCTATTCTTTATTGAGAAATAGTAGTCTCATGTGGTAGGAGACTAGTATCTTATGTCATAGACACTTCGATAAGTGTGCTGTTATTTTCTTTTTCTTTTTCTTTTTCTTTTTTAGTGGTGGGTCCCATCATCTTGTGTCTTAGCATAAGATATGATCTCTTATGCAACATGAGAGTAAACAAACCCTTCTTTATTTTGAATCTCTGATTGCTCCTGGCCCACCAAGAGGAATCTTCTTCTGCCCAAGCAATTATTGAAAGGTGTATGTATTATTTAGATTAGAAAGATAAAGGTCTATTATTTAACCTTTAATTCATTACATCCGCTTAACTTTGAGTACAAATGTACAATGTTATTTATACAATTAAATCCACGTAGTTCTTCCTTTTCTTTATGTTTCTCTCAAAAGTGATAAGTGTGTCTGAGAGCTCTAATAATTTAGATGTACGAGTAACATTTTTCTAACTTGAATTTTGCAAAACAACTACAAATAATTAAATATAGTAACTGAGGTTAGAGAAAACAGAGGAACTTTATAGTGGAAGAACCACCATGTGGCATGAACAATTAAATGAAAAAGCAACAAAGAAAAACAAACAAGGAGATGATAAATGAAGACAAATGTGGGAGGGTTGTATTCATTGAACACCGGTGATTTTTATACCAAAACCCGAAAGGAGACAAAGATACATAAAAAGAAAAGCAAACCTGGAAGGTCACAGTCGACAATGCTTCTTTCCTCAAAAAGCTGGTCTTGGTATTCGGCACAGACGCGTGAATCATGCAGGACAGTGATTCCCACATGTTCAGACTCAGTGAATCACCCACAAACATTATCTTCTTACCGCTCCACCTGTTCAAGAAATCCACTCCATCAAACCTGCACCACACAAAAATTATACTGATATTTACAAAAACCCATTTATCAAACACTTTTTTTTTTTTTTGATAACAATCAAACACTTTTTATTAGTCCACTAATTCACTAGAATGTTTGGCTGAGAATAATAGAGAAAAAAAGAGTACGCTGATTTGAAAAATAAAATGGTGTAAGAGAGTAAAAGTTAAAACATGTTTCTTAATTGTGCAGTTTAACATTACTTGTGATATTAAAAATGAAATCTGGAAACAAAAATGGTATGATTTCTTACACAAAAATGAAGTAGAAGAATTATTGACAAAACCCATTTATCAAACACTTCCAAAACTAACTCCATTAATCCTTTTATTTATTCCAAAGTATTTTTGTTAAACTAGATTATGAAAGCTCTGTTTCAATACTCCTAAGACACACTACTTTTCAAATATTCTGCACTGCAGTTTTAGAATTCGACATGTAACACTACAAATATAGAATCTGGGAACAAGAAGATTTTGGTTTGGACCCAATAAACCTGGCACTACCTGGGTAAGTTGCATGAATCAGGTTTCCAAGCGTATTTGAGGTACTGGTTGTCAGGTCTTCCATACTTTTGGCAATCAAACTCAGCATCAATGAAGGGGCAGCTTGAAGAGTCATAGAGAGGATAAGAAGGGTCAATCACCCAACTTCCTATGAACAAATTGCAACCACTTATTACTATTGGCTTTCTTCCTCTTATGCCACTCACATTGTGGAACTTTGCTGCTCCTGCTTGTTGCAGGGACACAAGCAAAGCTTGGCAAAACAAGGAGAATAGAAACAGAACAATGACCCTGAAACCCATATGGGATCTCAGAGTCTAAAAGCTGATAGAAATAAAGAATGGCTCTGAATTAAACTTGTGTTTATGGATCATATATAGGAGTAGGATGGAGAAACTCAATGAAAAAGTAGTACTTGGTGGGTTCCAACGGTGGGTGCTAGAGAACACTCATTTTTATTTTCTGACAAGTGCTATCTTGGATGGATTTGCTTGTGCTCTGTGTATCTATAACCTATGAGGGTTGAAATTGAATAGCTTGTTTTTTTATGGGGAAAATCAAATGTTAATTGCTACATGTGCATTCCATTGGTCTACCTTCTAAAATGTCACGGGCCAAAGGCAAACCTGTCTCTCCCAATTAAATATTCAATTTTATCTTCTGCTAAAAAAGTATTTTCAATTTATCTGCATAATGTCATGAACCATATGACAAAGAAATGGGAGTTTTAAAGATGGGATTGTCTTTTCTCATGTTGCATAAGAGAAAAGCTATCTCCTACACACATAGGGAGGAGAGAGAATAAGGGAGAGAAAAAAATTAAAAATGGGTCCCACAATTAATTTGTGTCTAATGCATAAGATAACAATCTTATGTAACATAAGATTATTATTTCCCTTTAAAGATTTACGTTACACCTAAATCTAATGAATTTTGATATCTTCAACAGATATAACAAAATATAAAATATTTAATTAATTACATCATTTTATGTAAGTAATTAAATCATTTAGATAAATGACTAATGAGTTAGTAAATATAATATGTAAATAAGTATTTAATTTAACTTGACATTTGATTATTAATACATGTCATTTTATTCTTAGAAATCAGGTGTCACCATCTGAAATTAGCTCTTGCCAGTGAGTGTTGGCTCACATGGTCCTTTGGTATGTAAAATAAAATATTTATTTTATTTTTTAGCAGGTGTCGACACTTATTTTAGATCTTGAGATATTTTTGAAACATTACTTTAGTTTTAAAAATATTATATATCACATTAATTTGATTTTTAAATTTTTTACATCAACGTAATTTAAAAAATATTATTTATCGAAAATATAGTAAAAAAGTAATTATCTAATACAGACTAATTTGACATTGCTATTTTTTAAGCTTGAATTGAGGTTTTGATATATTTTAATAATTAAATTAAGAAACTATTCCTGTTTAAATATTATATGGTTGCTATTTGTTGTATTGGTGTGTGCATGTGTGTGTATATTTATATACCACTCGCGCGCATACGAAGATATCATGATTATTTGCCTATTTCTCAAGCTTTTATAATTTGACAACAACCGCACTTGTGCCTAGGCTTCAGTGGCATGCATGACTTCCTCTATCAGCTCCCGTGGACCCATTTTTTGTTGCATTATATTTGTTTGTGTGTTTTTTTTTTTACTTTGTTTTGGAGTTTCATGAAAAACTTAATTTTACTTAAATCATAAAAATTATCTGATTGGATATTAATTAATATATATCTTTCATAATAAATCATATAATCTGTTTAATGTCAAGTTGAGCAATGCTACAATTATGCTAACTCAAAATATGTACAATTGAAATTAATCGCATTCGGATAAGAATCTGCTCAAATATTTTTATGGAGGAAGAATCTATCTTAAATGGATTTTCTCTATTGAACATATAAATACATCCATATCAATGACTACGAAAGGGAGGACAATTTTGTAAAACTACAGTTTCTTTTGTAAATTTGTTTTGTCATAAGCTTCAGACTTTCAGTTATTCAATTATAAACTGCTTATTAAATCAACTATCTGCGCATTATATTTATTGATATTTATATCACATAAATCTATCATTAAGATACCAAAAGAAAGAGAGAGAGAGAGAGAGAAAAAAAGCTTGATGCAAAATCTTGTTGAAGAAAATGAAAATATTTAAGTTTTTTTTTATCTTTTATTATTATTTTTATCACCATATGAATAAATTAAATTTGAACTATATTTCTACCTTAAAAAAGTCTTAAAAATATGTCACGAATATTAATCAATATCAAAGAGAACTATTTAGCAGAAAACGGCAGGAAAGTAAACCAAAGTTTTTGGGTTCCACTTTGTGGCTAACAACTCATTTAAAGCTCTGTCCACCACCATCGCCACCAACCCCCGTGTTAGCCACCCTCCACTCGGCGATTCGTTGCATCGGTTTACTCTCTTAACAAAACAACAAACTTGCCACCCACCAAAGCCCAAAAGGTAAGAGTATGATTTTCTGGTTCAGTGCTCAACAAACCCACTACATTACGCAATCCATAATGGCCAGAGTTTAGGTTCATCCACAAGATCACATGTAATGGGCCCTATGGGACCCATATAATATTGTTGACTTTAACTTCATCTGATTCCCACGATTGTCCGTTGTAGCTGGTATGCCGTGCACATCTTATCCTTGCATCTTGCAATTAAGGGCAATGTCTTCTTCTCAATTACTTGATAATCTTGAGCACGTGCAATACAACTATAACAAACTTGTCACGGATTAACTTTTATCCACTGTTACTGTACAAAATTAAAAATTATATCATAGTAATTGATACGTCATTGTAATTCAGATACTTTGGGAATCCGTAATTCTGCTCTATTTTTTTCATCTCATCAAAGAAAAAGAAAATATACATTAAAGATAAGTGAAAAAAAATATTAAAAAAAAAATGAGATATTTAAATTCATTATATGTTATCAGTTCTAAATAGTTCACCTTATTTCTCTTGTTTTTGTCAATATTAATTTTATGTGGGTAAACTTACCAAATTTTCTTTTATTTTGTCTTTCTTCTTAAAATCTTCTCTTCTCCTAAATAAGAAAAAGAAATCCTTTTCACTCGTCGTCCTTGAAGTTTATCATTCCCGTCCAGTTTTATACTTCTCCAATACATTTTCTAAAGTCACATTAGAAGCTCCTTTATTAAATTAAACCTACATTATTTCTCAACAATTTTTTCATGTATTCACTACGATCCTCCTAGGAAATCAAGCTCGGAAGGAAAAAGGCGAAAACAGATAATTGATGTTTATTAAATGGGGAAATAATTTTTTCTTTAAAAGCAGAAAAATTGTCTATGCCGAGACAAAATGAAAGAAAGAAAAAAGATAAAAATGTTCATGCAGTTATTGCAGATAATAAGTTATCTGTATTTATTTCCAAAACGACGTCGTTTTTGTATTGAAATCTTAAAAAATTATAAATATAAAGACTATTATAACTCTGAAATAAATTAAAATTACAAAAACACCATGATTTCTGTCCCAAAACGACGTCGTATTGACCTTAGTGCGATAACTTATCTTTAATAACTACAGAAAAAAAACGAACAAAAAAAAAAACATATTTGGTTGATATATAGAGAAAAATACTTTAAATTATCTCTCTCTCTAGTAGATAATTTTTTTCAGCTTTCGAAGTAGAAAGGATTTCCCCTCATTTAATACGAATAAATGATACTAATATGTTACAAAGTCAACTTTTAATCGATATTAAGCAACAAATTGTATATAAGAAGCATTATATTCAATTTTAATTATTGATCTATTTGTATTTAATAACTTATATATTTAATGATTTTATTTTTTTCCCCAGTAAATTTAGATAAATTATCTACGTTGAGCTCAAAAAAATATTATTTTAAGACAAAAATTAAGGTATTTTTGCAAATTTAATTTATTTCAGAATTATAATAGTTTTTAATTATCATTACAATTTTTTAATCTTTCAATATCAAAATAACATCATTTTTTAATCCATTAAAATTCTAATCGAATATCAACATATTTTTTTGTTCAAAAACATTCCATTAAAATTCTTTTGAAATCTCAATTCAATACACCCTTGAAGGTTGCAAGGAAATGAGGTTCATTTAGATTTAAATGGATTCATCTTTCACGAAAATGAGTGCAATTTTTTAAATGGATGGAAAAATATTGTTAGTTAGATATTTTTCATGGAGTATGATTTGCCCTAATTTTTTTACAAAAATTTTATTTTTATTTGAAGAATTAGACTGATGAAATTTAATTATACTAAGTATTGAAAAGAGTTAGAAGAATGATAATGAATTAATAGAAAAATATAATTATGTAATTTAAAAATATTAAAATTATGTAAACAAAATATCAAAGGTAAGTGTTCACTTCAGGTAGATTGTGAATATTTACTGCTTAGGTGATAGATGTATGCGCTTAGAGATATATATCGTACGGGCATATAGCCAATGTACCCATCACTGTGCACTAGTAATAGACGTATAATCAAGGCGTGAGGTGTGTATACAATGATAGGCAATAGAGTAAGGAATTTAGATTGTGTACACGAGAGACTTGACCCTTTATTTATAGAAGAAGTTATATGTAGGTGTAATAAGATTGTGATTGTTGGGGAATAAGATAAATTGTTTCATCATTATCCCTTAAGATATCCTTATCTCTTTAGTCTATCACAGGTTGTTATGTTGTTGAGATATGGGCATATAGAATGAGTCCATAACAGTAAGTATGTGACAAAAAATAATAAAGGCAATAATGAAAAAATAATCAATGGAATTAATGTTTCTCTTGTCATCACAAGTTATTTTCTGTAACTCTAAAATGATGTTATTTCGAGATTTAGAAATATTTTAATAAAATATACATAAAAATACTACTCAAATTTTATATGAGATAATTATCTCATGTTATCTTAATTCAAAAATTACACCCACTCTTTTTCTTTTTAATCCTTTAATGATGGATCCACGTGGTTTCTATATGTAACATAAGAAAATTACTCTCATATAAAATGAGTGTAGTATTCTCAAATATATATTACAATAAGAAAGTAAAAGAAAGACCACCAAAGCAGAAAGAAAAGTGTAGTGATACTGCAGTCTCGGAAATCATCATATGTAAAACATGAGAAACTCACTGCATTATTTGCTCTCGGTCGTTCTATATTTGAATGCTAAAAATATTTGTGCTTAAAATGTAGGGAAATGGAAAAGAGATAAATTAAGTTATATTCAATAATCTTAAATAACGTTGTTTTGGGATATGAAAAAAAAGTGCAGAATATTTTAAAAATTTTATTAAAATATCTCCTTTTTTTTCTCAATTCCCAACACCATGTTATTTTGAAGAGAAGGTTATACTTACAATTTTCTTTTTTTTACAACCTCTTACAATCATATCTTAACATTGTTGATTTTCGCCAATCAACGATTATCATTTATTGTGAATTAATAATTAATTAATAAGTTTAATTTGTGAAAATAATAACCGTTGATTGACGAAAATCAACGGTATTAAGATATGATTGTAAGAGATTGTAAAAAAAAAAATTATAAATATAATCTTCTTCTATTTTGAATTGCATAAAGTCAGAAATAACTTTATCTTTATCTCATATTGTTTAACAAGGGTAGTTAACTAATGCAAATCTAATTTGACTAATAAAAGGATGATGGAATATTTCTCCAAATTTCATTCAATAAAATCTAATTCATTATCCATTCTTGTTGATGCTTGTGCATATATTAATTACAAAACAATCAAAATTAAATATATTTCAAAAAAGAAAGTTTTATAATATTTTTCTTATGCTATTAGACTTTATAAATACATGCCAATGGCTAAAAAAAATGATATGATGTTAAAAAATTGGGACATGATACGTTTACAAATTTTTTTTGCAATTACACTAATGTAGGATCGGTCGTACACTGTGTGATTAATGTAGGACCGGTCCTACATAGTGTAGTTTGTAAATAAAAAATTTTGTAAATATAACATGCCCCTTAAAAGATTATTGAACAAATTTGCATATCAGCACCCGTGGATCCTTAAAATAATGTAGGAAAAGATAAGAAGGAAAACAGAGAAATCTTTATATATCCTTTGCTAATAGCACGCGCGCAAATCAAGGATAACTATGGGCTAGAGCCCATATCAAGAAAAAATCTGGTGACCAAGATTTCAAATTTGAAGAGTAATACGAAGATTTTAGAGGTTTCAAGTATATGGTAGAATAGCAGTTTATGTTCGATTCCTTTTGCCAAAACCCTGAGGTAATACTCTCCTTTTCTTTCATGTTTTACATGTTCATACTTCGACGATTCTGTAATGCAAAGTGATCCATGGTAATGATAAATCCTAATTTGTTATTGCTTCTTATTAATATTGTCTTTTGACACTGTGAACACTGTCATTATTGCTTCTTATTAACATTGTCTTTCGATCAGAGACGGATTTAGGTTGATCAGAAGGGGCAAGTGCCCACCTTTAAAATATGATGCAAAAATAAAAATATTTTTCTCTTAAAATTCAAAATTTTCCAATTGAATTTAGGGGTAGGATATTGTAACAATTAATTAGGGTTACTACTAATATTACTAGCAATCAATTTCACCGTTAGATCGATTATGTTGATCCAACGGTTATATTTATTTTCATCTTTGTATAGTTATGATTCCTCGTATAATACTTTATATTTATTTTCACCTTTGTATGATTATGATTTTTCATATTTAATGCTTTTACATTAAATATGGGGATCATAATCATATAAAGATAGAAATTTGATTGGTAGTAATATTGGTAGTAACCCTAATTGGTTGTTACGATATCCTACCCCTTTAATTTTCCTCATTCTATTTTATTTTCCGGTGAGTTTTTTTTTTTTTCTCCTCCACTTTCATTATCCAAACCTAACAACAGAGAACTCTATTCCATACCCATCGTTTGCATCTACATACTATTTATCTCCTCTCAAACCTACTCAATTTCTATTATTGGAAGTTGGAACATTTACTTCTTCCTCGATCGTTGGTCCAGTTGAGTCGCAATCCATCCAGATCTAGATCTCAACCAGACCCAGCCAGCCGGCTGTTGCTCGCAAGTCACATTCTAGACCAGACTCAGATCTATATGTACTTGAACTTATATTTTAAGTGCCCACCCTTTGTTAATTTTCTGGATCTGCCACTGCTTTTGATACTGTAAACACGATCATGGCATCTTCTATATTTGCTTCACCTCGCTATTCCTTATATTAGGGTATACAATTAAGCATGGCACTCACTGTTCAATATGCTATATATTTGTTTGAAATAAACGATTTGTTTATATAGTTACCATCGTTTGCCTATTTTAAATTGATAAACCCCATTCGAGCTCTTAATTTTTTTTCCAATTTATTTTAGTCGTCATGTGATATTATTCTTTATAAAATTTGATCTCTAAAACTTATTTATCACACATTGACTCTTCACACTTTTCCATTTTGATTTGTTAGAAACTTTTTATTTTATTTTTTTGAATTTTAGAGTTGAGTTTTGCTAAAACGGGTGAGTTTGAAATAATGGTAAAATTATTTTTTTGTCACTAAAAGGTAATCAGTTGGAATTGTGAAAACAACCTCTTTACAGGTATGTGTATGAGTAAGGTTGCATATAAAGATTGCACTCATCTCATACTCACAAGTCGGGATTTAATGAAAATTGGATTTTAGAATTGAAATTTGTTAGAATCAATTACTCAAAGTGAAATTGAATATTTTTATATATGTTACATTGTGTATTAAAAGAGTCTGCCGGCCATTTTGCATTTACTTCTTATATAGTTAAAGCAGGGTAGTATATAAATAGTAGGGGGTGAGTTTTAAACTCGGCGAAGCACTTATTGGTCATTTTGGAATTACTTTTTTATAGTTCTCTTATTTACTCTCATCAAGGACGTTTTCATTCGAAATTCATTGATAAGGGTAGAAATAAGAAAATGCAGATGGCATGCGAACTACTATCCCTCTACAAATACATTGTAAATATTTAATTTTACCTCTTCATTTTTTATTTTTCTATTTTTACTTCTCCCAAGCTCAATCTTATTCTTATCAGGTTTGATTAATTTGCACCAGAAATGCATGTTTCTCTTGAGGTGTCTTGTGCTTAAATGAATTTGGCTGCTGTCAATTTTGTTAATTTTCTATTTTCAGTATACATATTTGCATAGTTCTGTGAAGCAAATTGGATAGCGCAAGAAGTCAAATATGTTACAATTTTTAGAAAATCTTTGTAATGTTAAGATTAGAGTAGGGTTATATTGAAAATCTTTTTTTTTTTTTTACAAACTTACAAACCACATTATGTCTGATCGGTAATACTTTACTCAAGAGTATATTACTGGTCATATATAGTGTAGTTTGTAAACAAAAAAATTGTAAATATAATCTTCTCCTTGAGATTATACATAGAATATGTAAATAGAGTATGTCAGAGGATTTGTTAGGATTAGTTTCTTTATGTGTTTAAATTTCATAAATTATTCCTTTATTTTAAGAATTTTTTATTTAATATAAATAGGGATGGATGTTTTGTATTTCGTATCACTTGATAAAACATTAATATATAACATATTCATTATTCTCTCTTTTTTCTTACCTAAGATTCTACCAGATGCAGAATGACATGCAAAAAGTGCAGTGGTCAAATCTGCCTAATGACCTGCTCTTACAAATTGTGGATCGTCTAGGACTGATTGAGTTTCTGGGTTTCCGTGGTGTTTGCAAAGATTGGCACAATGCTTCTTCAAAAGCTAAGGATAAATCTTTTGGAGTTGATCCTTGGCTTCTTATATATGATGAGGGAGGTTCTCAGTGTTCCCTGCTAAGCAACCAAGATAAAATCTACACCATGAACATCCCAGAATTAGATGGGGCAACTTGCCTTGCATCCTATGAAGGATGGCTTCTTGTGTTTAGACATGGTTCAATGTTCTTCTTTTGCCCCTTTACCAGAGCAAAAATAGAGCTTCCAAGCTGTCCTTTCACAGAAGTATCTGACCATATTGCAGCATTTTCATCTGTTCCCACTTCTCAAGATTGCACTGTTGCTGTGTTTAGTCGAATCAATGATCATGAAGTAGAACTCTACTTGCTTTGCAGGGGGAATAGCATATGGGCCAAGCACAATTATTCTCCCGATAGATTATTAAGATTTGTTACAATAACTGGTGCGGTGTTTAATAAAGGGGAATTTCACTTTTTGGACAAGCAGAATATGTTAGTTACCTTTAATGCTGCTAAGAGCGAAAAATGGAACACGTATTTTTTAGTTCCAGTCCGGAATAAATCTAGCGTGGGTCAATTGAGCTATAATATACAAAAACACAGGTTGATGAATGCGAAGAGTAAACTGGGATTAGAGGCAAATGTTTCAATTTCTACATGCGGAACGCTAATGACACACTCTAGTGGTCAATATGGTATTGCAATTCAAGGTGAAAACATTGCTGCAACTACAGAATCTGAAAGCCGTCACCTTAAAGGGGTGTGGATCCAACCAAGTTACCTTAATATACCTCCAGACCAAAGCTGGTAATTTGTTGGGTGTTTCCCCTTTTTGTCTAGTTATCATTTTGCTGACTCTTCCATCGGTTTGTTTATTTATTTTAAACTTTGGGATTTTATTTTTTGATCTATAGATTTAAGACTATTTTATGCTTAAGAGTTTTTGGAGAAGTTTTTATATATTTTCTTGTATGCTTTTAATTTGGGATGTGTTTGGTCAGTTCTGTTTATAATGCTATCACATCTGCGAAATAGACTTTTTTTTTTTTTTTTTTTTGGTAAACAAAAATAAACTGTTTTATTGTAAGGTCAGAACCCGAACAACGTTCCTGCCCCGGAAAAATATTAAGAATTCAAATTCCAATGCATCACTAAAAGTAAAAATTCTCTCATAATGTTTTATAAAACATAGTTTTGAGACTTGAAAATTTATTTTGTTCCCCGAAAATTCTAATTCTCGTTCCGCTCTTGAGTAATATTTCGAGTGATTTGATAAATTTCTTTTTAAGCATCAATACATGAATCATTTTTGTTTCATGTTTTTTTTTTTGTATCAACATTTTTGTTTCTTGTTAATCCTTTCTCCTACTTATCATTTTCCAACAGTTTTCAAACACATGATGATAGTTAATTTTGACCATATGATATTCAATTTTTTAATGAATTTTTTTATTTTTTATATGTTGTTATAATAATTTTATCGTAATAGTACATTATGTTCTTTTTAGATATTATAACTAAATCGTGCTTTAATATAAATTAAAATTTAAATAGTATGTTTACCAAAAAAAATAAATTTAAATAGTATTTTTAATTTTTTTCGTTATTTAATTTTTTAAGTAATAATTGATACACGACTTTGATTTACACAATACAATATAGAAATAGAGAAGTCATGAAATAAAAGGATGGGGTAACTTGCATTGCTTCCTGTGGAGTATGAGTGTTTATCAACCGATCCAAACTGATTCAAACCGTGATAATCGAATCAAAAAATCAATAACCGAATAAATCGAAAACCGAAATATTGAAAATCGAAAAAAAAATCTCAAATTTTAATTGGATTGGATCAGTTTTCGGATTGGTAGATGAAAATCGATCCAATACAAACCGATTCAATATATTAATTTCCCTCTACCTACTTGGATTTTTTTCCTAATTATAGCCCAAAAATTTCTAAATCCAAGACTCATTAATCCATCAACTAAACTCAAGAAAAAACCTAGTCACATATCATCAATAAAATTTCATCTATGTACAGCTTCATATCTCATTATCCAAAAAAAAACTATATTATCGTTTACTGATGTTTTTGTATTTTAAAAAAAAAATTACAAAGCCAATATATACAAAAGATGTTATTTGCACAATAATCATGAAACAAATTTTAGAATTTTTAAAAAATCGAAAATTGATCCAATCCAAACCGAAAAAAATTGGATTGGATCCAATCGGATTTGAAAAAAAATTTAACCGAATGAATGATTATATGATCAAACCAAAGAAATTAGATCGAATAATTTTTACATCTACAATCGATCCAATTCAAACTGCGCACACCTCTGTTGTAAGGATGGCTGCTTTTCTTTCGAGAATGCTTAATATTCTTCTTTTGCCTATTATCAAATTGTCCTTTTTCAGAATTATCTGACAATATTTTAGCATTTTCAACAGCTAAACGTGTCAAGATTGCATTGATATTGTATTATGAGAAGCAGTTATCACTAATTAAAAAATAAAATAATCGTAAATTTTGCAATAGCATATATATATCGCTTGGTCCAGAGACCAAAACTCGAAGAACATAGAAAATATGTATAAAAATTGATAAAATTCCAAAGTAAGGGGTACATTATCTGTTAGGTTCTGCAACTCAGGGGTGTTGATCAACCGATCCAAATCGATTCAAATCACGGTGATCGAATCGAAAAATCGAATAAATCAAAAACCGAAAAATCAAAAACTGAAAAAAAATCGCAAATTTTAATTGGATTGGATCGGTTTTTGGATGGGTTGATGAAAACCGATCCAATCCAAACCGATCCAATATCTTAATTTCTCTCTACCTACTTGGGTCTTTATCTAATTATAGTCTAAAAATTTCTAAACCCAAGACTCATTAACCCATCAACTAAACCCAAGAAAAAATCTAGTCACAACTCATTAACAAAATTTTATCTTTGTAGAGTTTCATATCTCATTGCCCAAAAAAATAACTATATTATAGTTTACTAATGCTTTTGCATTTCAATTTTTTTTTACAAAGTCAATATATACAAAAGATATTATTTGCACAATAATCATGAAATAAATTTTAGGATTTTCAAAAAACCGAAAACCGATTCAATCCAAACCGAAAAAAATTGGATTGGATCAGATTTGAAAAAAAATCCAAACCGAATGGATGATTATATGATTAAACCGAAAGAATTGGATTGGATGATTTTTGTTTTCGAAACCGATTGGATCAGATGTTTTTTGTTTCTAAAACTGATCAAATCCATACCGCAAACACTCTACAACCTAACTTAAAACACTTTGTTGGGGAAAGACTCAATGGTTATTTATGCTAGCCAATAGACAAAGAAATAATAATAAAAAAATAAAGGGTTTGGTGTTTGTCATTTTAAATGACATAAGTTATATCATTTTAGGAGAGAGATAGACACAGAAAAACAGAAATCATGAGAGAGAGAAAATTGGTGGGTTTTTAATTTAAAATTCAAATTTTCTGTGTCTGTATCTCTCTTAAAATGACATAACTTTCTGTCATTTAAAATGACAAACACTTTTCCCAAAAATAAAATAACAGAAAGTAAAACATTAAAAGGGACAAAAAAATTTATTTATTGTAATTTAATTAAATAATTACGTATATATGACAGTTTGGAAAATATTTACGCATCTATTGCACACTGAGACGCCCCACTGGGGCGTCTCTCATGAAGGGAAGACGCCCAAATGGGGCGTCTCTCGTGAGGTGGTGACACGTGTCACTTGTTTTTCCAAAAAAAATTTAATTTAATCATAAAACTTTTAAAGGCCATAACTTTTGACTCGAGTATCCAAATCAGATAATTCTTTGTTTGATTCCACATAACTTTTTGAGATATACGCAATGACATCTCATTTGATATATTTTATTTCTCACCAACATAATTTAAATTTAAATCAGGTAATCCTTCTTCCTTAGATATTTAGAATATTTATTTAATTATTTCCTTTATTAATACAGATTTTTCAAATTGATTTTTGAGTTTAAATCACAAATCAAATCTTTATTTTGATTTCCTTATTAATAATAATTGTTACTTTTAATTTAAATCACAAACCAAATCTTTTTATAATAAAAATAAAAAAATTATTATTTTTAATTTAAATCACACATCAAATCTTGATTTATTTTTTGTATTAAATCACAAACGCAGAACTCAGAGGCTTCTGAGTTTAAAAATGTGACACGTGTCAACACTTGTTTAAACCTAACACATCACCAATCACGTCTAAATTGAGTTTCAATCAAGAGGAAATCACGCCTAATTCAGGTAATTGTTATAATAAAGAAAATTATTATAAAAAAAAATTAAATCACAAATCAAAATTTTTATTTATTTTTTTATATTAAATCACAAATCCCGAACTCAGAGGCTTCTGGGTTTAACCGCTCTTATAATACCATTCTTGCAAATTAAAATTGTGTTTGTGAGAAATAAAATATGTCAAATGAGATGTCATTGCGTAGATCTCAAAAAGTTATGTGAAATCAAAAAAAGAATTACCTGATTTGGATACTTGAGTCAAAAGTTATGGCCTTTAGAAGTTTTATGATTAAATTAAATTTTTTTTTGAAAAAACAAGTGACACGTGTCACCACCTCATGAGAGACGCACCATTTGGACGTCTTCCCTTCACAAGAGACACCCCAATGGGGGCGTCACAATGTGCAATAGATGCGTAAATATATCCTAAACTATCATTTTTTTTGTAATTATTTAATTAAATTACAATAAATAAATTTTTTGCCCATTAAAAGGATCTTTAAAAGAAATGGAGATGCAGGGGATCGAACCCTGTACCTCTCGCATGCAAAGCGAGCGCTCTACCATTTGAGCTACATCCCCGATATGATTGTTTATTTTATAAATTTAAATTAATTTAAACAAAATTGGCAATATGCGCTCTGAGAAGAAAGGATGAGAGTTATAACATCTCATCCTTTGGAACAAGGAGCCACAAGGAAAAAGGATAATGGCTTCGTTAGCGGTATCTCCTTGGATAGCCATGAGAGCCCCCACCCTCTCAGCTTCTCTCGGTCTCGCTGTTACAAGACCAACTTCACTTCCTTTCAACGTTGCACGCTCTTCCTCCAAAACTCGCTCTTCCCTTCTCCATTGCTCCTTCCTCTCCTCTCCTTCTTCTCTCTCTTTCCCTTCCTCCGTTTCAGGTAATTCTCCCGTCAAAGATAGTTCATTTGGCATCTGGGTACTTGTTATTTTCCTTCCTCCATGTGGTTCTTTACGAGTTATGCAATGGGTCATTTTGAAAAAAAGAAAAATATAATTTGCTTTTGTAAGTTGGGTTTAATTGAACTTGAGCATGGTAACAGTTTGGAATTGAACTTCCTTTTATGGTTTTTAAATGTAATTTATCTTTCTTTCAATTTTAGCGAAATAGGAGTTGATGCTGCTACTTTCTAATGAAACAATTAGGTTGGTTATAAGTGGATAAAGCTCTCTTATGAATGCAAGCAAATGTGCTAGTTATATAGCAACATTACTTCCATATTACCTTTTTCATTTTTATTTATAATAATTACCATATAACTTGCTCAAATTTTTGCCTTTTGGTTTTTGGAGAGATATCTCTGAAATCTGAAATCTAATGTATTTGGAATGGATCGAATTCGTATGCTGTCTGCTTCTCGGTCACACCTTCTATTTGGTGTATCCGGATTGAGCAGAACCAGTTTATATTTTGTACTAGTATCCCTTAATTGCATTTTTTATGATTGCTGAATGAGTACAGCAATGCTTTTACTGGCATGACAAAAATCTTTGCTCTGCTTTATCTAAGGATTGTGACCTGGTATTAGTACAACCCAGTGGTTTCCGTAGCATTAATGTTTGAGTTACTCTGGATTTGGAGGAGTCCTTAGAGACACAAACATAATTGGCTTTGGAACTTTTATTGTTATGTTGGTTGGTGGACCACTATGGAGGTGGAACTCCTTGGTTATCTTGATCTCTTCCTGGCTCAAAGTAAAGGATTTTGGTTAGTTATTATGTAAAAGAGATGCTAGTGAGACTGTTCGCCTGTGTTTGGCAGGATTACCTTAATGACATCCTTTCATAAACATCATTCATGACATTAGGAAACTCAAGCTGTACCTTACCCTGATATAAAAATGCAACATATTTTGCCAAAGAAACATCCTTATGAATAACTTGGCAAGGAAAAAGAGAAACTGTGGGCAGAAAAAGAGGAGAGAACACAGCTCTTAACACTTTTGTGATACAAACTTACCAGCTTTGAATTGTTTGGTGGATTTGTTTAATCTGCATGTATATAATTAAAATTCTTATTCAGATTTTTCTTGACTTGATCTCAACTAATTTCTCAATGTTCAGGTTTGTCACTGGGATTGGATTTGAAATCTAATGTTGGGGCTAGAAGAGGAAAAGGCCGAGGCCTGGTTGTGAGGGCAGGCAAGTATGTTCTTTGCCAAACCAAGAGAAACAGATCACGAAAATCATTGGCACGCACTCATGGATTCCGCAGACGAATGAGAACAACAGGTGGAAGAGCTGTCCTAAAGCGACGACGGGACAAGGGACGGAAAGTCCTTTGCACCAAGTCCCACCCAAATAGCGGAAAATAGTGACGAAGAGGGCTTAAATTTATTCTATTTCAGTGGGTAAATATTTTGATTCCTCTGAACTTGTCTGCATTTCAAGCTTTTCTTTTCTTTTTTCCTGACAGTGGTTTTTGTACCCTTTAAATTTGAAAGTTTTATTATTTTGGAGGCTTCATTTTGTCTTTGTCATCTATAATTCTTGCTTAGTTGCTTATATACTTGCTCAAAAGATGTTTGCTGCATAACAAATCACAAATTAGGCTTCATGGAATGTCAAACTGGATAATTAGTTTGCATGGATAATATCTCTTATGCTATGTTAACCCTATTATCACTGGTAATTTTTCTAAAAAAAATAAAATTGAATATTCTGTACATTATCAAATTGAGTATATTTCCGTGACTGATATTTCTTCTTTACTCACAACATTTCAAACTGCTCCTTCTTTGTTGCAACGGATCTTTCATTGGCATCAGGTATGGCATTATCTGTTGTGATCAGTGTCAAATTACCCCTTTTACATGAGGGGGTGCTATAAACGAGAGACTAAAGATTCAAGTCATTCAACGATGAGATTTCCTCTGTTTCCTTCTATCCTTTGTTACTTGAAGAGGATGCTTACGAAAAAAGAGAGAGTAGTCGAGCAGTATTTTCAATGAAAGTTTAAGCCATTTGTTTCTTTTGCTAATGTTTGTTTGCATGATTGTAAAAATTGTTGGAGGTACAACCTTGTTTTAGATTCAGGTGTCTTATGAAATCCATTTGTGTCCTTCCAGGTACAAAATCCACTTTTTTCCTTGATTTTATTGATTGCTCCTTTCTTTCTCCGGTCTAAACCTGACTCAGGCTAACAGATATTCACGTTTTGTTACGGTAATGTGTTCCAAATATTGCGACCCTTGTTGTGTTTATGGCCTATAGAGAGTTCCTGCCTGAAAGGCAAGGAATTCTTCATAAGTCAGCATAGTTGTTCGGTCATAACTTATAGTAGTGTTACATTCGTTGAATTTCTCTACAAATTCACAAGTTGTCCTTGAATCTTTTATTGGCTTCTACCCCTCTCTGTATTGTTTGCATAAACATGACCATGCACTGCCATCCACTCATCAATTTGTTTGGCAAAGGAAGCTTCATAGCATGAATTGTGAGCCCTGAAAATGATTAAGATGGTAATAATGGATTTTCTGTCATAGTGAAAGCCATCACTCCCAAAGTATAGAAGCCATGTAGCAATGTTCTTTTACTGATAGATTATCTGTGATGAAGTTGTTGGGATCGACAAACGATTTTTTATGTGTATATTAAAGTCAAAGTACAAGTAAGCATAAACAAGCATATGGTAAAAATTGTATCTTCAACTGGAGTGAACATCCCCTCCCTCTAAAACTTAGTTTTCAAGAAATCATTTTATTTTATTTTATTTTTTCTTTAAAAAAAACCCTCTTGTTGGATATACTGTTAAATGTGTGAACACTAAACCTTAATATAGGAAACCTTAAATATTGAGGTGAGCTCTTAAAACGTTTAACTTCATGAATAATAATTGCAATACTTTTCCACATTTCCATGCAATAGATCTGACGAAATATACTTTTTTTTAGTGAGACTTAATGTGTCAATACTATATTTGTCTATAATTATAATACCAAGAAGTGTAAGAGATAATGGCCAATTATCATCTCTCATCATATTTGTCTATAATCCCTCTTTCTTGTATTTCTAGCTGAAAGATTCAACTATTATATATTTACGCTAAAAAAATCCTATCATAGAGAGCTTGAATGAAAAAAAAAAAAAAAAATGCTGTGACAACATAAAAAAGTAAATAACGGAAAAGAAGAAAAAATATATAAAAAATAAGGTATGATCATTTGCCATCGGTGTCAAACTAAAAAGTTTGATATTAAATTTTAACCGTTGATTTTATGAATTTAACGGTTATAACTTATTGGGTTTCACTTATTAATTAATTATTAATTCTCAATAAATGAAAGTCATTAGATTGATGGAAATCAAATGTTAGAATTTGATGTGAAATTTTTTAGTTTGATATTGGTGTCAAAGAAGTCTATTCTATCACATAAAAATTATTATAATATAGGTATGGGGATGCAAGAAATGAATCTTTTAATCAAGCCACTATAATTGATTTAGTAGTTATGGGTTTGGATAGTTTGTACTAGGTTATGTGTTCAATTCTCACCAATGTATAAAAAAAAAAAAAAAAACTTTTAATCATACAATGTCATCACCTTCGGTGTATTACTCATCATTTCGCATTGTTTTTTTTGAAAATATTTCAATCGGTTCATTGCTTCACAACTAATCCGATTCAGGACGGGTCCAGGATTAAAGCTTTAAACCCCTCTCAAAGGTAATCATTTCGCATTGTTTTAACCAGAAGTTGATAACAACATAGAATACTATCATTATTCTATTCGTAAAATATATACTATTTACTCAATAGTTGTTGTTCTAGTTGCAACCTAGCTACATCATAGGGTTTGACATGTCCAAATAATAAAGATTTTGATTTTTTGGGAGGTGAAGAGATTCAAACCCGAAACCAGATTAATCTGATCAATTAGGACTTCGAATAAAGGGATAACAAAATGGGTTGACATGTCATGACATGAACATAAAATCGCCCAACCCATACACAATACGTTTTTGTTGACGGATCAAAAACTTGAACCCAAACACACACGACATGAAAAAATTGAAATTTAAAAAAAAAAAACCAAAACCCCCCTGAAATTGACACGTATACCAGTTGATTGATACGATACAACACAAATAAATTTTATAATGTGAATGACTAAATATATTCCCAATACGGGTTGACACACGAGTCAACCCGTGACATGGCACGACACTAATTCGTGTCAAAAACTTGAACTCGTACACGACCTATTTGAACTCGAGGATCGACACAACACGCATTTTGAAGTGTCAGGTCACAGGTTAACCCACGGGTCATGACCTGTTTTGTCACCCCCATGAATATCGGTTGGCATCTATAAATAAAAAATAAAAAAATTCATTATTTATTCTCTGTGAAATAGAGTTGTTTCAAATCATTCTAGATCGACTAGATGGGCATTTATGAGTTTCTTTATTAGCTGCCTAGCAAGCCCATCATATTAACTCACTAGACTACTACAATGACCACTACAAGAAAGTGTGTGTTTCACGACCGACGATCCTCGTCGAATGAAATATCATGACGGTTATGACGACGTCCTACTCAACCTTAGTTGAATATGAATGAAATATCACGACAGTTATGACGACGTCCTACTCAACCTTAGTTGAATATTATAATTCTACGACAAAAATTCTGAGGCGGTTAAATCGCTTCAAAATATATATTTTAAAGTCGAATTAAACCGACGCAGAATAAAGTATTACACGACGGTTTGAAACCAATGTATAATAAAGAAATATTTTAAAGTCGAATTAAACCGACGCATAATAAAGTATTACACGATGGTTTGAAACCAATGTATAATAAAGAAAGGGAAAAATATTTCTGCAGTTAATGCAGATAAGTTATCTACATTTATTTTCAAAATGACGTCGTTTTGGTATTAAAATCTTAAAAAATTATAAATATAAAGACTATTATAACCCTGAAATAAATTAAAATTACAAAAACACCATGATTTCCGTCCCAAAACGACTTCATAAAGAAATTCACGATCGTTTATGGCATTTTACAACGGTTTGGCTAAATGTGAAAAAATATTTAAACATAATTGTCAGTAGCAGGATTTGAACACAATATGCATTGGAGGATTTAAACGACAACAACCACTATGCCATTAAATTCTTTGTGATATTCTATTATTATTAATAATATATATTACAAACTTTTGTATAAATTTAAATTAAGCTTTTTAGCTAGTAATTAAATGACGGTTACATAAGTGCTATACTTGCCCTAATATATACGCTGGCAATTGGAATGATGAAAACTTAATTCATAGAACAGTGACCAATATGCCATATGTTTGGCATTTATATAACAAACCAGCACACGAACAGTAAATTTATCATACTGTCACGTATTGAAATTCGCTACGATTGGTAGCGAACTTGGTAACCAATAATTTCTTGACACGTGGCACACATTCGAAAGAAAAGTTGACTGCCCCATGTCCAGGTTCGCTACGACTGGTATCGAACTTGGTAGTCAATGATTTCATGACACGTGACACACTTTTGCAGAAAAAATTGACTAAATTAGTTCTCTACCAGGGATAAAGAACTTGATGCGCTATGTGGCACAATCTCGTTGCCCGATCAGAATTAATGTACCAATCACAATCAAAAAAAGAGAACGAAGGAAAATAGTTATTTAATTAATGTACAAATCACAATTAATATAACAATCATCAATCACAATTAATATACCAATTATCAATCGGTGTTAATTTTGATCACAATTAATGTATCAATCACAATTAATTTTGATTGATACATTAATTATGATTGATGATTGATACATTAACTATGATTGGTGATTGATATATTAATTATATATGATATCATTGTTATAAATTCGAACGTGCTACATTGATATAATTCACCCTTTAAGGAATACATCATTCTTTCTGCCGCTTAAGAAGTTCACAAATAATACCGGCTAATTAAAAAACTTCATGGCTTGATTCATCAATAACTCAATAAATTAGAAAATTAAGTTTTAAATAAAACAATGCTATTAGTAAGAAAAGCATTTTTTGAATTTGACCACAAAACGAGATGCACCTTCAAAACGTTGGAGTGGATTTAAAAATAACAGCTTACAGAACTCATTGTCAATCACCATTTTACCACTTTATATTTGTGAAACTTTTTAAGAATATATATATATATATATATATATATATATATATATAGGGGTTTGCATTTGTCATTTAACATGACACAACAAATTTTCCTACACACACAACATTTTGTGGGGCCCACATTTTTTGAAGAAAAATCACGGCACGCAAAACGAATCTCTATAACATTACACACTCACTTTTCCTACAACATAACTCTTATAAAACCCATATATATATGGCTTTAATGTTTCTAAAGTGAATGTAGATAAGTTATCTACATTCACTCCCAAAATGACGTCATTTTGGGTTGAAAAATTAAAACATTATAATGAAAAATACTATTATAACCCTGAAATAAATTATAATTATAAAAATACCTTGATTTTCGTCTCAAAACGTCGTCGTTTTGGGCTCACTGAAAATAAGTTATTGATGCTTCCCGGCAAGTATACCGATCGCACAAGTAATATAATAGTAAGTAAAGTTTGTCTCCACAGAGATTGTGATCGTTTATCAATTAATATTCCTTTCAAGAATGGAAGAGTTCAAAAGGGTTTGTTTGTGACAAATAATGTCGATTTGAGTAAAATTAAAAGTAAAAACTTGTTTTTGTATTTTCATATTGAAGAATAAAAATAAGAATAAGAATGAATTGATTTGTAAAAATGAGAAAAGCATTGTAGCTAGGATACACTCATCATATGATCCCCACTTCTTACTCTGGATTGATTTACAATATTCATTTATAAAATTACTCGGATAAATTATTATCTAAAATGTATTACTAGTTAACCCTCAATTCCTTGCAATGTTCCTCATGGTATTAAGCAATGAACTCAATAATTTAGGCATCCACAATTCAATACACATATATTCCTAGCATGCATACGAACCGTTATCCTACCCCTTTCAGGATGAAAAATCCAATATTCCTATCTAGGGTTTTAACCCTCAAACTATCATCAACTATCAGATTGATCAATTCTAATAAAGATAATATAAATACGCACATGATAGAGATAAAGACAATTTATATAAACGAGTAAAAGTAAACCAATCCGTCGTGACAAGGGTTCACATAGGGTTTGTGACCGTAACTACAATAAAAATAAACTAGCCAACCATAATCACGGCTAAAAATCCAATATTCAATAAAAATATAAAATTAAAAGAGAAGATGAAGAAGAACTTGATCTGCAGAATCCTCTCGGAGCACCACCGTCGTCTCACTTCAATAGAATAGGTCTGTCTCTTTCATTCTGTCATTAGGATCCTATTTATAAACCTCGCTTCTTTATTCCAAAATTTCCCTTCAGAAAACACGGTACTCCTTCCCCGCAAACCGGCGCCATTTGGCGCCGGTGTGGCGCCATCCCGCGCGGTGCCACTGTCCAATTTAGAAAAGTCGGGACAATTCCACGTAACGAGCGCTACTTTGCTTGAGTTTGGCGTCATGTTGCTTTATAATTGTGGCGCTAGTTGGCGCCATTAGGCGCCACTTGCAATTGTCCGCTTCACTGTTCATAGACTGGCGCAGGTTCGTGCCAGTGTGGTGCCGGTCCGCGCCATGTTTCTGTCCATCTTATTATGATACATCCGTGTGAAATTGCGTTAACAGACTTTTTATAATTTGTAATTTTCACTCCTTTTAATTACCTGTATAAACACAACCAATAGGTGAGAAATATTATTGACATAGAAAGAAACAATATAATTAGCAAATATGTATTTAAATTGCTCTTTTATGACTCAATTCTTATCAATTTCAACTTGAAAAACCACACTTGTCAGAGGCACATCAGTTATCTACATTGATTGTAGAAAAAGCGAACCCTATATATATATATATATATATATATATATATATAGGGAAAAATGCTTCTGCAGTTACTGCAGATAAGTTATCTGCATTTCTTCCCAAAACGACGTCGTTTTGGTATTGAAATCTTGAAAAATTATAAATATAAAGACTATTGTAACCCTGAAATAAATTAAAATTACAAAAACATCGTGATTTCTGCCTCAAAACGACGTTGTATTGGGCTTACTGCAGATAACTTATCTGCAGTAACTGCAGAAAAAGTGAACCTATATATATATATATATATATAATTATTTATCATGTCATTTGATCGCTCTGTCACCCAAAACTACATCATTTTGTATATTTATTTTTCTTATTTAATTGATCTTAAATAGATACTATATTTCTCTTTCTTCCTTTATATATTTGCAATTAGCATTTTCCTTTTACATATTTTTTTAAAAAACTTTATTTTGAATGAATAAATATTTTATTATAATAAAATCACACTCTAATAATTAAAAACAACACCAACAAGAAGAATCTATTTTATATGTTAAATACACTTATTGAAAGAATTGAATGCTTACATATATAAATTAATTTTAGGAGTTAGGTAGATGCATATTTTAGTTATTTTAGAAAATTTGAAAAAAAAATTATTTTTTAAAAGAAATATTTCAAGAAGTTGTTTTAATTTTTTCAAATAAGTTAATCCAAACACAAAATGATATGGCAATTATTAAATTAGAAGGGATCAGAATCAGACACATTAGGCATGATATATATCACGACATTAATCATAGATATCGTGTCTAATCCCTACTAACTTGAGCATTTTTAATGTTAATTCGACCTGATACAATTTTGAAATTCAGATATTCAAATATCATCATATATATATATTGTGTTCAGAGAAACTTATTATAAAATTAAAACTCCTAAGATTAATTAACGGACGCATTTATTATTTAACTCCTAAAAAGAAATGAATCTCTTTTAATCGGTAAAAAATAAGATTTTGAATTCTATATATATCTCAAATCTCTACTTACTTTCTGCACAGTTATACAAAATCAGTAAAAAGCCATTGTGGTAGAACAACCTCTTGTATCTGCAAAAGATGTCTATTACTGTTGAAATGAAACGTCTCATCACTGTTTGCTTTATCTTTTGGACATGTGTATATCCAGCCATGTCCCGAACCTTGTATGAAACATCCGTTGCTAAAAAGCACGAGCAATGGATGTTGCAACATGGACGCTCCTATGCAAACGATGCGGAGAAGGATAAACGCTTCAAGATTTTTATGGAGAACTTGGAACGCATTGAGAATTTCAACAATGCTACGAATAAGAGTTACAAGTTGGGCCTGAATCAGTTTTCTGATTTAACTACAGAAGAGTTTATTGCTTCACATTCAGCAAAACTTAAGATTTCAAGCGTACCATATTCACCTTCTTCGATGGCGCCAGTTCCACCCTTAAACACTGATGAAGTCCCCGAAAGCATGGACTGGAGAGAGCATGGAGCCGTCACCGATATTAAGGACCAAGGCACATGTGGTAACACCTTCTTACTTTATATTAACAAAAATTTCTAGGGAGCTAGCATGCATGGCAAAAATTAGGGTGATTTCATTTCATGTTTCATGTTAGGGTTTAATGTTTGTAATTTTAGGAGAAAAATATATACAAGAAATGAAAATCATGGAGAGGAGAGAGTGGGTGATTTTTTTTTAATTTAAATTTTAAATAAAAACTATTATTTTATATTTATCTCTTTCTTAAAAAATGACATAATTTTGTGTTATTTATAATAACAAATATTTTTTCCTTCATATTTTAATATCATCGAGTCTACAATTTTTTTTTTGTCATTCATTAATAAATTAGCGGTTAAAATTTTAATGATAAAATTTAAAAAACATAAAAGAGAAAAGGGTTTAACAAAGATAAGAGAAAGAAAATGTTAGAGGAACCTTCTTACCTTACCGAGTATGGCAGAAAAAATTTATGCAGCAAAAACAGAAATATTGATGACTATTGATGTATCATTGAATAAGTTATATTTTTCTTGTGAAAATTTTGTGCCTGCTATATATCAATCCCTTCATTAAATTAAATAGGTGAAATTAAATTAAATTTTTTGAAAAGAAATAGATAGGTAGAAATTTCAACATAAAAGGATATTCATTAGCGCTTGGTGCCATGGTTGTCACACACAAAATAATCTTTTTAGCCACACCATGATTAATTTCTTGGTACTACTATATAACTCTACCCTATGACCAATGTGTACGTTTGCAGGATGCTGCTGGGCATTTTCCGCTGTGGCAGCTGTAGAAGGTATTATCAAAATAAAAACCGGCAATTTGATCTCATTGTCAGAGCAACAACTTTTGGACTGCGATTACAATGAGGAGAACAAAGGCTGCAATAAAGGTTATATGCAAAATGCCTTCGACTATATCATACAAAACAAGGGTCTTGATAGTGAAACTAGTTACCCATACCAAGGAAGTACTTCAACCTGCCATATTGCTACTGCAACCGCAGCCCAAATAAGTGGTTATGTAAATGTACCTTCGAACAATGAAAAGCAACTACTAATAGCCGTGGCCAATCAACCAGTGTCAGTATACTTAGCACTTAGTGATGACTTTCATTCATACCAAGGAGGCATATTTACAGGAAGTTGCCCAACCAAGCTCGAGGGTGCAACTGATATCCATGCGGCTACTGTTATTGGCTATGGGACGAGCAAAGATGGCATTAAGTACTGGTTGATTAAGAATTCATGGGGTAAACTCTGGGGTGAGGGTGGTTACATGAGGTTGCTTAGGGATACTGATCAACCAGGAGGTCTTTGTGGCATTGCTATCAATCCTTGTTATCCCAAAGTTTAACTAGTTTCAAAAGCAATTGCTTATTATGCAGTGTACGCGCGTTCATTAATAGGTTGAATAACTTTTCTTTTGTCTTTATATTTTTTGTTCAACATTCCTTTCTTTTAATATAATATATTTTCAATCCATGTTTTGATGCCTCTTGTTTGGTAAGGAGTTCCTAGTTTGATGCTCTTTATATATATATATGAAACTGAAGCTTTTAATTAATGAATTTAAGCCCTTTATAACGAATCTGAAAAACTAAACGCAAAATCATGACATGGAAAGAGAAACAGAAAAAAATGGACATATATAAGCTTGCAAAGAAAACTGAAAAGCAATAGAATGGTTAGTGAATTGAATATTATTCATTACGTTTTACTTGCAATGAAATAATGTTCGTCGTAATACAGAAATAAAAACAAATTATTTCGGAACATGTTTCAAAATTATTCACAAGTAGAAAAATAATTTCAACCAGCATTTTCGTGGTGACCTTCACAAAACAAGCTTTATTAATTTAAAGGAACTACAAGAATACATTTCAAATTTTATTATTTTAAAAAGCTAACTATTTCTCTTCATATGTTTTAAAAAATTTATAATGCTCATCCAACGGCCAAAAGTATTGGTAGTTCAACATATGAAGATTAATAATTAAATTTTTTTTGCTGCCTGAAAAACTATGTTAAAATAAAAATTGTTAAATGTATATCACAATTTCTTTAAGTTCATTTCCATATCTTTTATTTTTTCGGTAAATGGTATAGCAGTTTATAATAATGCCATTATAATTAGGTGACCTCATAAATAGGTCTCAGGAGTCAGGTGAGGGATTAAAAAAAAGAAAGATAAATAATGGTGAAAATCAAACCAATTAATTTTTATCAACGAAACCGCCAGCATGAAACGTAATTTACTAATTTCTTACATTTATTCCAGAAAATGTCACTAACAGTCATATGTTGAGAAATTTTGACATGCTAAAGGAGGAAGAATTTCTCCGAAAGTATAACAACTTGAATGAGTCCCTAGCTAACAATTATCAAGAAACACAAATATAATAGGGATAATTTTTTTTGAGAGAAATATAAAATTATTAAAATGATTTTCACCTAATTGTTAAAGTTTTTAAGATGAATTAATTGTTTTACATAATTTTTCAGTGTTGGTGGATGGTCCTATACATTATTCTTCGTTCAAGTTATTGGAAGTCACGTCATCACCATCACATGAAAAAAGGATCACGGCCACATCAGCAAGCGCTTCATGCAACGAATAACTGCATATGACTATTTGTTGAGTAGTTTGTTAAGCAATTGGTTAAGCTGAGCTCTGTTGCAGCTTTAGTTTGTTACATTCTGTTTTTAGCTTTCCCGCGTAAACTGTTGTATAAATAGGAAAGACTGTGTATCCCACAATTCAATTCAATGATGAAATACAGTATTAGTTTCTAGAGAGCACTCATTTTGAAATAAGTTTTAGCCCGCAGGTGACCTAAATTTTTTTTTTTTTTTGGTAGTTACATGGGGCTAAAAGCCCCACGAAAACAGAAGACAAATAAAGACAGCTACAAACAGAAAGAAAACAGCACCAAACTAAAAACCAGAAAAACAAAACAGAAACTAAAAACAGAATCAGCATGCAGCTATCTAGGAACTTCCTGGATCCAGCATATCCGCAGCAAGAAGGTTGATCAGCTCCTTATGAGGGGATGAGATAACAGAAAGACCGAAGGAATCATCCAAAGCTTTCTTTGCTATCCAATCTGCACAACAGTTGCAGGATCTGGGAATGTACTTCAAGGAGACAGTCCACTCCCTGCTTAGAACCGCTCGAATCTTAGTTACCAAAGGTACTTTTCGAGACTCATTACCATTCCTGGTAAGAAAGCCAATGGCTTGTACAGAATCTGATTCAAGAACAACTTCCTTACAACCAGATTTCCAAGCAAAATCCAAACCATAAAAAATAGCCCATAATTCAGCTTGCAGAGAGGAACAGCAACCAATAAAAACAGAGAAACCACCAACCCAATTTCCTTTCCAATCTCTCAATAGACCTCCACATGCAGCTCTCTCAGACGAAGCAGCACCATCAACATTTAATTTCAGAAAGCCTTGGGTTGGAACTGTCCATACAGCAGGTGTCCTGATGGTGGAACTGGACTGAGTAAGAGGATGGAATTTTTTCCTGCTGAAGCACCTTATATCCTTTACTGTTTCGGCCAAAGATGGAGAAGGGTCTTCAGGTCTGTTAGCAGTGACATCATGATACTCTTTATTTCTCCAATGCCAACACTTCATATGCAATGTAATTGGCAAGGAGTTTATCGTTACAGGAACGTCATGTACTATTATCCGATATAAATTTATTATTAGTCACAATTTTGTTTTATAATAGGGGGCATATTTTCTTATGTTGTAGGATAGTAGGAGAGAAAATAAGTAGAGATAAGTTAAATGTGGGTTCCACATTTTAAATTAAAAAAGAAAAGAAAAATTAATTGGCACAGAAAATAAATTTGTGTAGGAAAAAGTTCTTTATCTCATGTAGATGGAGATAATGATTTCCCTTTATAATATTGCTGTGGATTACTTCTTTGTTAAATTTATTAGCTCTTATAGAATTAGTTCGAAAGAGTTTAATCGATTTCTTTATGTATTTATCTTATATTAAACTTAATCGAAATAAGCATTATTAATAAAAAAAATTGAATAAACGTTAAATTACACCAAGAACCATTTTGCATGAAGGTAAATTAAATTCTTAACAGTTTTCAATAAAATACAATGGCAAAAAATAATAATTTTACACATACTGTTGGGTTTACAAGATAAAATTAAATTTATTGCGAGTAGACCAAATAGATGAAGCCAAAACTTAATCTGGATTTATCCAAGAGAAAGATTCACGAAAAAAGTTTATTTGTGACGAAAAATTTCGTTATAAATTTTGTCACAAATGACAATTTTCGATACAAATAATCAAATGTCGTCACAAATAAACTTACGACGCAGGAATTTGTGACAAAATTGACTGGCGACGTAAGAATTTGTAACCAAATTTTAATCTTGTAGTGATTTTCTCGTGTTTGTGTCAATTCGATCTAAGCAATCTTAAAAGGAGGGGATTTAAGAGGAGGATATGCAAAAGGTCCCTCAAGTAGTCCCTTTGCTATTTGCCTATAAGCAGCTTCGGTATAGTGGAGTCCATCCCAGTTTATACGTTTCGAAGGTTCAGAGCAAACGGTTGAGCGAGGCTCTCCACAATTTATGTTTGGAAGGAAATTGAAAGGTCCACCTGCTCCACAACATGCTTTGAAAGTCTCATTCTTATCAGCAGAAAAGCCTGCATATATAATTAGTGTACATAAAATGATGTACATATTTAATGTTAAAAATCAAATTTAGACTTTTCAACCTCATCTTTGGTCCACTATTCCAAACTACAAAACTTGAGAAAGAAAAATTGTGATGTGTAACACATGTGCACACAGCCATGTAGCATAGCTAGCTGTCATGTTAGTAACTAGTAAGTGTCATGTGATAAGGTTATTAGGTGTTATATTGTCGGTAGTTATGTCTATATATATAGAGGTTATGGGTAGGTGTAGTGTGAATGGAATGAAATAGAAGAAAAGCATGTGTGTCTTAAAAGATGCCATAGCACTTGTGAGAAGAAAAAAGAATTAGCAAAACTGTGAGAGAATATAAAGAGTATTGACGTACTCAAGTAGAGAGTTTGTTTTGAGAAAAAATAGTGTTGTATTGTACTTAGAGAATCTTCTATTAAAAAAAAAAAATTGTTATTTTTTTTTCTATTTCTAACAAGTGGTATAAGAGGAACTAAAATTCCAAGAATTGGTATCAGAACCCTCAATTTGGGGGCTGTGGTGAAGAGAAGTGTTGAAGCATTGTGAAAGGAAAAGAAGAGCTTTAGAGCCTTGATCTAGGAGCTGTGTATCTGTTTGAGAAAAAAAAAATGGAGATTCCAAATTTTTATGGAAATGAAGGAGATGATAAAGCTTCCCGATGGTTAATTCGCCTGAAAGAATATTTTCAGGCAGAGAAGATCAATGACGATTGAAAGTTGTGGGAAGCTCTGAGAAGACTCAGAGGAAGTGCGTTTACTTGGTCTCAAGTTTGTTTCAATCAAAGAGGGATATGGTTTGCTGCAAGTTGGAATGACTATCTACCTGAGATTAATGGTGACACAGAATTAATCACCCTAAAATCAGAACTCGCTATCCAAAATGAATTGGAGTCAGAGAAATCAAGGGCTATGAAAGAGGAAGAAGAAGAACAACAACAAGAATACAAAAGCTGTTGAGGGGATAAATAAATTTTCTTTGACAAAAGAAAAAGAAGAAGAGGAAAATGAAGCAGTACTGACACTTTCAAAATCGAAGATGGAACCACACAAAAATTTCATATAGCAGGAAACAATGGTAATAGAGAAAAAGCATGTTTCAAACGAGAAAGAAATTGAAACTCGGGAAATGAAGTTAAGGAGCAGCAGCAACAAGTCATGGGATGTATCAACAAAGAAAAAATCATTCTAGTAAAAGAAAAATAATCTCTCATTGATGTGCCAGAAAAGCGTGAGAAAGAAAAGGTTATGGAGAGTGAGCAAAGTGAAAAACTAAGGATCACTTGGTTGAAATTGGCAAAAATCATGTATGTATCAGAGATGTCACAAATACCAATAAAGATTGTTCACCTCCCACCATTCTCGAAACCACCGGACAAATGTGTTCCAAAGTTAAATTTGAGAGGAGTGTTAGAAATCAAATTTAGACTTTTCCACTTCATCTTTTTGCTCCACTGCCAAACTACAAGAATCTACAGGACTCGAGAAAGAAAAATTGTGATGTGTAACACATGTGCACACAGCCACGTAGCATAGCTAGCTGTCATGTTAGTAAATGTCCTGTGATAAGGTTATTAGGTGTTATATTGTCAGTAGTTATGTCTATATATAGAGGTTATGGGCAGGTGTAATATGAATCATGTGTG